AGATTCCCATCCTATTAGTGCCTTTTGTGCATGTTTGGACAGCATCAACGCAACTCCTTGTGTATGTGATGCATTTTCCTCTTCATGACCAGAGTATAACAGCAGTTCCCCTGAAGCTAGTCTCAGTTGTCCTACTTGTGTCCAATGTGTTTCACTGATTCCAAGCACCTCGAGGTTGTATCTTCTCATTTCTGCCGCAACTTGAAATAGTCTTCCAGTCTCCCACAATGTACGAACGTTCCATGTACCTAAAAAAATGGTTGCTCTGGTTGTCAGAAGAGGCATCAGCCCCGTGACTTCCGAGGGAACTCGGCTTTCATCACGCGACGTCATAATTCTTCCTCCAACTCCCAGGGCAGAGTTAAAATGGTTTGAATTATTTTTTCTGGTTAGCGTTTTTTTGGCAAGTTAGTTTTTGACGGAATGGGGTCGCCAACCCCATGTACAACCCTCCTCCTTTACCCGGGCTTGGGACCGGCAGTAGCCCCGAAGGTTCTACTGGCGGAGTTTATATTTCATTAAATTTCATTAAATAAATAAGTTTTACTTTTATTTAAGAAAATATTTCTTTAAGCTTTTGAGAAAACACTCTTTGTTCATTGAATAACTGTCATAGTTATTGTATACAATTTTTTTATTTTTAATAAATGGCTAAGATTACCGACATAAATTACAAAGACTAAATGAATTTTAGTTATTGTAAGAATAATAATGTATACAGAACAAAATTTATTGATTATTAATATTAGTATTCGTATCCATATGTTTGTTCATTTGAAGTTGTTTCAATTTTCCTTTTTTCTTTTGAAATTTTATCTACTTATTAATTATTTAATTTTCCTATGTTCTTTTTTCTTAAATTATTGTTAATGTTATATTTTTTGTTGATGAAATATTCTGTGAGAGCTTTGGAGATTTGTGTTTTTACACATTTCAAGCCATCAATCAATCATTGTTAGTTGACCACCATTAGAAACCTGGGATCACTGAAAGAAGGCAGAAGTGGCAGTGCGCATCCACTACTCCTGCACCTCGCAGGATTCGAACCCGGGACCTTCGGTCTTGTGCGCGAATGCCTAACCATCGGACCACGGGGTCGGCATCCAACGGTGTTAATGTCTAACTCTGATTGATCTACGGATTTCGAGCTCACTGCTTATGAGTTCCATACCAGGACGAAAGAGCCGTCCAGTGCTCCCAGGTTTCTAATGGTAGTCTAACAATGATTGATTGATGGTTTCAAATGCGAAATATTCTGTCTTAAATGTTTTATTTAGTTGTGAGAAAGATTACTTAAAGCTAAGTAGAAATACATTGATATAGTTATTGATTTTTTTAGTGAAAACAGACAAATTATTTTTATGCGATAATTATCATGGATGTACTTTTCAAAGATGTTGATTTTTATCTGTACTATTTCTAACATGTTTTAAATTATAATTATAAGTTAATATAAATAGCTTTTGATTAATGTATTTAGCTTTTCAATAAAATTTCTCTCATATTCTTTATACGAATGAAAATTTTTAAATGAGTCCCTTTTTATCATTTCTAATTGAGTAGTTATCAATAATAAGTTATTCAAATAATTATCAAATATTTGAAGTTGTCACATGACTTACGTACTTTCATTTTTTACTCCTTGTGGAGCATAGGCGGCCTACCAGCATTCTCCAACCTACTCTGTCCACCGTCTTCCTTTCCAGTTCATTCTTTTTATATCTGCTTCCGATTCTCGGTGTACTGTGTTCTTTGATCTTCCTGTTTTCTTTTGGTTTTTGAGTATTCCAGGTTTGGTCTTGCATTGTGACGTAGTTTGGTGAATTCCGTAATGTGTGTCCTATCCATTACCTTTAACGCCTTTTCCTAATTCCTTTCTCACACGGAATCTGGTTTATGCTCTCCCATAGTACGTTGTGAATTCATCAGATAGATACAACATGTATTATAAGCATTATTTTCACATCTTGTATTTGTTTGTAATTTTTTTTCTCTTACCGTTTATATTCTTCAGTATCTAATTATCTACACACTTATCGTGTAATGGTTTTAATGTTTTGTAGTGATTATTTTAAGTCCATTTATCCACATTAGACCTAATATCTCCAATGTTGAACTATTGATAAAAACTTTTGTTATAGTTTTCAATTAGAGTTATGGAGATTAGTGTTTTTACATATTGAAATCATCAATGATTCATTGTTAGACTACCATTATAAACCTGGAAGCACTGAAAGACGGCCGTTTCGTCCTAATATGGGACTACTCATCAGCAGTGCGCATCCACGACTGCTGCACTTCACAAGATTCGAACACAGCGGAACCTTCGGTATTTCGCCCGAACGCCTAACCTTTGGACCCCTGGGCCGGCATCCAACGATGTTATTGTCTAACTCTGATTGATCTAGGGATTTTGCGCGACCTCACCCATTTGTCTTTGGTAGTTACTACCTACACCCGACAGGGTTGAACTCCACTTGTCACGTCTTTATTTGTTATCGTATTTTACTTTGCTTACTAACTACTATTAGTACACCTGCCTTCCTACTATCAACTTGCTCTTTTACCTATTATGTGTGGTTGACATACATAATCTATTTCATTGTGATTGTTGACTCAAATTGCCTTGATTTGTTTAACATTTTCCGATCAATATTCATGTATATTAGGGTATAAAGCCTGATGACGATCTAGTTGAAAACAATATTGTACGCTTATATGTGTTGTTCTAACTTGTAAATCATTATTTAAACTGTTTATATTTGACACAATGGACTGGAATCAGACTTAATCATTAAGTTTTCATTGATAAATTGTGGATGGATCGATAAGGCTGATTTCTTTCAGTTGTGATTATTAGTTAATAAATTTATTTATTTCTCCCTTAACAATCTGTTTATAAACAGTATAATACAAAACGAAAAGAGTACATATAGTTATGAGTGAATTATAAGCATACCATGTGGTAGTGGCTTACTGATTCGAGAGTTCTGCCTTCAGCAAGAGAATTTCACATTGAAATCCAACATTATCCACTTCAGTTTATGGTAGGTAACCAGATAGTACCATTGATCCTCATAAATAGAATGTAGCTCATACCTAAGTAAGTGTCTAGTGGCCACCAAGCTAGCGATTATTATTACCTTCGATTTAGTTATCCTGTAAGATGTTTCTATATACTCCTCGCTTTATAACTTAAGTAGCAGTTAGTTACAGTTCACCGGTAGATAAGCATATTATAATTATTAATATTCAGATAACACTATACAATTCAATCTATGTAGAATCTATTTGTCATCATTAATGTTCAGCTTTGCGAATTCCACATTTCCCAGCATAGACAGTATTAGTAAATAGGAAAACCATATCGTAAACCGTTAATTTACAAAATACCAATGCATCATATCAAACTGGACTGTTTCTGTTGCAAACATCAATCCATTGTCTGATATTTCACTGTTCATGCGTTTCATACAAATCTTATTGTGTTCCCGCTCTTCCTTTCTTGATCTTCCCCCATCTTCTGCTGCCAGACATTACGTTTCTACTCGCGTCATATACTACTTATAAGTATCGCGCACCACAATAGCACAATGAATACTTGTGTTACTTACATTCCAGTTTAATCTTATTTAATTTTGTTTTTGAGTAATGAATTGTAGTCTGCTATGTTTTTCATTTCTATTCAGCTTAGCATTTATGCATTAATTTTTTTAGTAATTGGCTTATTTAAACTTAAAATAATCCTCGCAAAGCACTTATAAGGGTTACGTAATAGGAAGTGTACAAATAATTAGATAGTGAAGAATATAAAAGGAAAGAGGCGAACAAAAATGACATGCAAATATTAGATATGCATAATGGGTTTACGGTGACTGTTGAGTTGTTTTTTGAAATCATTGAGCCGATTAATGGTGGACCACTATAAGACCGACCGTAGCTGCTACATTGAGGTGGTGGTCGCGCTTGCCTATCGTGATGAACCTGCCGAGCTATATTGGCTGGAACATATGTTCCTCAAGGTTCTACCATGTCAGACAGGTCGATTGGAGAACGATGAAACTAAAAGCAGCTACCCAAGGTCTGAGGGCGAAGTCGTACTGTTGACTGTAGAGAGGTGTGGCAGCAGTAAGGTGTTTCCCTCGGACAACCAGCATCTGCAGCGATGCTGCCTTCTCACAAGGAAGGAAGGGTTAGAAAAGGTCGACCCTAAAAATGTCACACCTGACCCTACCTCACGGATTTCCGTCCCCGTCGATAAGGGTGCCCACTAAGGTCTTTTAAGATAGGAGCCAATACTCAAAAATCCTCTCATAAAACGGCCGTGCGTGACCGGCCTCAAGCAGTTGTCCTTTGGGCTCTGCGGTCACGCTTCCAGGTCTCTAAGACCAACACCAATCTGCCTTCCTTTTTAGGTCCCTCAAGAAACAACCTTCCACTGTGTGGGCAGCCGTGAAGTGACAACCGCCCTCATACCCGTAACAGCACGAAGAGATCGAATTGGTCAAAATCAAATCCTTCTTACTCCCCGTAATATCTCTCTTATCTCTAGTGGTATGGCAACATGAACTGATGTACTTACGTACAAAGTTCTACGTTGCATCTGACTTACTGAATGTCTGACTGGACTACTATAAGAAACCTGAACGCTCTGAACGACCGTTTCGTCCTGGTCTGGGACTCATCATCAGCAATAACAATACTAAAAGCGAATCGTTCACTAAGTTATATCAGGCCAAGGAAGGGAGGTACTAGAGTGTCGTGAATTTCTTCTGAACATATAAATAGCGACTGAGTGGTTTAGGTCTTTAATAGCTTGTGCTATATATAGCAGAAGGCACTGAACTCCATGGAGAAATAATGGAGGTATATTATCGATCATTTGAAATGAAACAATCTTAATCATGTTAATGACTTATTTTCTAAATTTCAATTTTCAATATTTATCCTTGAATTTTTAATAGATAATATTTTTTTTATTTTTATATTTTTGATTCTAGTTAGCTAGAAAACGACATATTGGTAATTCATCAGTTACATTTATATTTGTTGAAGAAGGTGCTAAACCATTTCAACCGGATACAATAATTTCAGGTTTTCAAAAAGTATTCATTTTAGTCAAATATATACGTTTAAATGATAATGGCAGTGAAAATACTTCTGTTCATAACAATAATAATCATAATTATAAATTTGGTTATCGGTAAGTTTTATTACGAATAAATATATATCCTATGTTTATATATTTTATTTTGTTAGGAAGTTATGAATCTGTTAGGTTTGTCATTAAGTATGCTCGAAACTATTACGAGTTCACCTTAGTCGATAAACGCGAACGAGACAATGAACCAGCGTCCAGGTGGGCTACCTTGATCCGAAAACGGCGTAGAAAGTATATTCTACAAACACCCAACAATCACAATGCAATCAAAAGCATACAAATCTCGTTTATTTATACATCGTAGAAACGTCCTTGGGAGAGTTACAAAAATAGCACACTAAAATACACACACAGTAGCCAATCACAGCCAAGGACTTTTGATGGCGGGAAATGTGATCTCAAGATCAACTGATCAACCCATGCTCACCAACATGAAATCCAAAATAAGGCATTTATCAGGCGAGTTCTAGGGATCTAACATACCCAACTGAATCGATAAATGTTAGACCACTGTTTTAAACAATAAAGGTTTATGAAAGGAAAGGTTCAGTATTCATGGAAAGTGTTTTAGTTTTTTATTCATAAAAGGAACCAGAGAATTCCATGTTTAAACTTTGAAGTCAGTAAGCTTGAAAACATGCACTTAGCTAGATATCTGAGTTGTGCGTTACATATTCAAAATATATATATATATATATAACTGATATTCCACTATGATACTGACATAGATTTTTATTTTCTGCCGTTTCAAAATGTTTACTTCCTTACTGTTTATGCATATGACTAATATAAACAATTTCAGTTTTAATCAATAAAAATACTACATATATACACATATATATGTTTTCTGAAAAGAATTCACTGAAAAAATTCAACTTAATAAATTATAACTGAAAGTCGAACAGATTCATATCAGTTCATTTATGATTAGTTAGGTTTCAAACAGCTTTAATTTTAATGTAATTTTTTCATTAACTGCATAGAAATTACAAACAATTGAAACACAATAATAACATCCCAGGTAGAATACTACGCTTAAAACAATTTAATTCCTTTTTATAAATTTTGACAGAACAGTGAAAAGACGTAATTGATCTGAAAATAGGTGATGTATTTGCACTATATGCAATTATCACCTTATGACTATTTGAACTTTTTACTGATAATTGACCTTTTATTCATCTTCATCTAAAATGCCTTGACAAGTAAGTATATTATGTGTGACCAGATTGTTCGAAATGTATAGTGCGCAAATATATCACCTACATTCAGATCAGTTACGTCTTCTCACTGTTCTATGAGAATACTGCGTCTTTGGGGGGGGGGTGGTTTATGTGCTGAAGATCAGTCAATCTGTTGGGGATGTTAGGTCCTCAGAACTCGCTTGATAAATGCCTTATTTTGGATTTCATGTTGGTGAGCATGGGTTGATCAGTTGATCTTGAGATCACATTTCCCACCATCAAAAATACTTGGCTGTGATTGGCTGCTGTGTGTGTATTTTAGTGTAATACCTTCGTAACTGTCCCAAGGACGTTTCTATGATGTATAAATAAACGAGAGTTGTATGCTTGATTGTATTGTGTGATTGCTGGGTGTTTATAGAATATACTTTCTACGCTATACCAAGACTTCTCTTTAGCCGTTTCGGATTAATGTAGCGTACATGGACTCTAGCTCATTGTCTCGTTCGCGTTTATCGACTAAGGTGAACTCGTAATAGCTTCAAACGTACCTAGTGATGAACGTAACACAACCATAGAGCGTATTTCTTCTTGCGATTTTTTGTGTTTATTATAGATCTAAGTGAATTAGTTTGCAAATTGATAATGAGACGTCAACGTTTCAGCATAAAATTTAACAGGATTAGACAATTTTTTCTTCAAACAGTTGTGAAACGGAAGTCAACCTGTAAGGTGCTGTGAACAATGTGAACTACACCAGTTCAAGATTGATCCTTGAAACTTTAAACATATCATAAATTAGAGAGAAGAAAAGCATTGATAATTAAATAAGGGGATAATTTGTAAAATTTGAAATATGGCATTCAGTCTTTACTCAGTAACAGTATTTTATTCCAGTAGAGGATTTATGCAAACAGTTTTTACAGAAGATTTCTAATTAATCTTTCTCAATGATAATGTGTATTTATCTTATAATGAAAATATCAGCACAGAATATAAAGTTCTTCATATGGAATTTGTATCCGAACATGAAAATATTGGATGTTTTTGATACATACTAAGTAGATCAGTTTTAAAATAACTTGATTATTTCTCAGAAGCGATTATTGCAAAAGCAGGCTACGTTTGACAACCGGCTTTTATGAGTTCTAGACTAGTGATGTTTGTGTAACATACTAACAACTTCTACAGAACCGACCTAAACCTTCTTCCATCTAACGATCATAAGATTATTCAGACTACTGAGTTGAAATATTAAAGTTAACTATTTTTTCTCATTTTGGCATATTTTCTGACATAATGTGGATATTATATAATTGTAGTGGTGTTTCGTTCTCTGAGCTGGATCTTTCGGTTGTGGAGCTTTTATTGTTCTCCTACTGAACAACGTCATCAGCACAAATCAACAAGGGAGATAGAGTCAAAACAAAGGTTCAAACAACGACAAGTTTAAGGTCGACAGCAACCAATCAAGATCGAGGTTAACAGAACAGGCTACAGGTCAAATGTGGAGAAATTCGAGTGCTTCACTTCTATCTGAAGTTTGTGCTGATGATATTGTTCGGAAGGACGACGAAAGCTCCACAACCGAAGGATTCGGCTCAGAGAACGAAAAACCGCAACAATCATCCATCTGAGCTATAAATTTTCTCCACCAACTCAATATTATTTAATATTATGATTAATACATATATTATGTTTTAAAATTGTACCTATTTATGTCCATGTTCTCATTCTCTCTGTTTTACATCCAATAGTGTGGCTGTTTGTCGAGCAAAAGATGTACCACCATTTGGACCAATTATATCAAGTGATTATTTATTTAAACACCATTTGTCATTTGCCAATCTTTTATTAACTAAAGGTCAGTGAATATTGAACACGTGTTTTTATTAGTTAGAGATTTTGTATCGTTATAGTTGGTAAATTAACTAGTAATTTGCTTATCGAATTCCAGGTTAGTAGTTGTGATAAACCTAGTTCTTTTTATAAGTGCAACAAGTTTTCAACAGTTACATGATTATAACGTGGTAAAAATAACTTGATTGAAAAAAGATGCACCAGTCAAAGAGTAGTATTCATAAATTAAATACCTTACCATTGTGACATCTTTCGGTATGTACATGTATGCTTGTTCATAATAAATCCCTCCGTAGATATATGTTGTATGTAACAATCAAATTTTGTACGATTGACTGATTACTAGGGAGTGATCAATGTTATGCCCGTCAGATTCTTCTTAGTGCTGATACTAAAAATGCTTGTAAACTAGTGACAGTGTGGTGCTGTGGTGCGAACTACTTATAAGTAGTATGTGACGTGAGTGTCAACGTAAAGTCTGGTAGCATAATATGGGGGGAAGATCAAGAAAGGAAGAGTTAGAAAACAATGGAATTTGTATGAAACGCATGAATAGTGACAATGGATTGATGTTTGGCAACAGGAACAGTCCAGTTCCATAGGGTGAACTGATCTTTTGCAAATGAACGATTTACAATATGGTTTTCCGATTTTACTGAGTAACTCTGTAATTTCTACTACTTACCTGTTGAATCCACAATATTACTGATATGACGTAATTTCACTTAGATTTAGTATTAAGCGTCCTGTTGTTGAGTCATGGGCTGCAGTTTATCAGTCTCCTCAATGGTTCCTTAGAATATACTCCTAGCCGCTTTCCAACCTTTCCTTCAAAATTGCTTGTAACTTAATGGGAATATCGAAGCAGTCTTTTAAAGATGAACATATGACCATTTGTAGTTAATTATATCAACAGTTGGGAGATTCAAACCCTTACAAATGAAGTTCAATTCTATCTCATTTAAAACAGTATAGATAGGTAAAATAAATTGAAAAAAAAACGATCAGATATGAAGATATTCGATGGTGTTCACTTGAAATTATTGATGTCTGTTAGCTGTGAATAATTCAACTTTTTCAATTATAGTTCTGGAGATTAGTGTTTTAACACATTGAAATAATCAATCAGTCATTGTTAGACCGGCATTAGAAACCCGGAAACACTGAAAGACGGATGTTTTCACCTGGTATGGGACTACTCATCAGCAGTGCGCCTCCATGACTCTTGATACTGGTAGGATTCGAATCCAGGACCCTCGGTCTAGTGCACGAACGCCTAACCTCTGGACCACTGGGCTGGCATCCAAAGGTGATAATGTCTAACTCTGATTGATCTAGAGATTTTACGCGACCTCACCCATTTGTATTTTGTGGTTTCTGCCTACATGTGACAAGGTACAATTCCAATGGTAACTTCTTCTCACTAAACTCTGAGAATTTCCTCAAGAAGCTAGCCACAACCAAACAAATTTAACGATTTTTCAATTACAGTTATGGAGATTAGTGTTTTTTACACATTTGAAATCATCAATCAATCATTGTTAGACCACCATTAGATACCTGGAAGCACTTAAAGATGGATGTTTCGTCCTGGTATGGGTCTACTCATCAGCAGTACGCATCCACGATTGCTGCACTTCGCGGGATTCGAACCCATACCAGGAAGAAACGGCCGTCTTTCAGTGCCTCCCAGGTTTCTAATGGTGGTCTAACAATGATTGGTTGATTGATGATTTCAAATGTGTAAAAAATCATTCAACTGCTGAGCATAAAGCAACATTATGAATTCATGTAAAAAACAAAAATTCCATTATAATTACTGGATAAAAAAAATTAAAGTACATCAACAGTATATTTCTTATTTTTTTACAAACACATTGTATACATCTAATTGTTAAAAAATAGAATAGATATTCATCAATTACTAATATTTTTTCATTGAGTTGAAAAAGAAAAAGTACTTTCATTTTACATCTTAATTTTAATAAGAATTTATTAAACAAGATAAAAATTTGATTACTACATTAATATTTTACCTCAGTGGTGAGAAGAAAATTTATTTTCTTAGTTTATTGATTATATAGTGAATATTAGTTTTTTTATCTCTAATTTTCGTCAATTACATTACAGTAGAGTTAAATAAAAATAAGTTGAATACCAACAGTGAAAACCAGTATGTATTACGTAATGAGCTGCAGATTATACAATTATAGTGATAATAATAATAATAATAGTTGGATGTTTTATTCATTACCCTAGGTTTGCAGTACCTGTTTTTGGTTTGGGCATTTGATTAGTATCTTAGCTCATTCATTAATCCAATAATTTGTGTGACGTATAAATATTTAGGTGTCTCTTTATGTTGAAATAAATAAACAGATAAATAATAGCATACTTATGAATATCAAACTCTTGTTTGTTTTCAAACATAAAAATCATAAATGAATCATTGTTAGACCACCATTAGAAACCTAGAAGCACTGGTATGGGACTCATCAGCAGAGTGCATCCATGACTACTGCAACTCACAAGATTCTTAAATCAGGAACTTCAGTTTTGCGCGCGACCACTTAACCAGTGGACCTCCTAGCTTGCATCCAACGGTGTTAATACCTAACTTTGATCAATTTTAATGTGTCAGTCAGTCAGTCAGTTACAACGTAGAACTTCGTACTTGCGTACATGAGTTCAAGTTGGCATACCGCATTAGCACAATTACAAGAAGAGTAAATCCAGTTCCTTCTTCATTTTGATATGAAGATGTCAAGAGAATGATGCTACTCAGATACTGTATGCGCGTTTCCGAGACGCAACATACATCGATTGAGCGAGATTCTAAAGTCCTAGCTAAGAAAACCTGTTGCCCTATTTGACACAATATCCGTACATTAAATGCTCCAACATGTAGTTTGGAACGGGGTTTCAGGAGACCGGGAATAACGTTTTGGGAACTCGAACCGTTTGCATCAGCGATGCGTGGTGATAAAGGAATATGAGGAGAGTTAGTCGTGAGGATAAGGGGGATTTTGGGGATTTAGGAAGGATTTGGTCTCGTGTGCTGTTACAGGTATAAGAGCGGATATCGCTTCCCGGCTGCCCACACCGTGGAAGGGTGTTTCTTGAGGAACCTGGAAAGGAAGGTAGATTTCCTAACCGTCCCTTCCTTGTGAGAAATTAGCATGGTTGCAGATGCTGGAGAGACATCTTACTGCTGTCACACCTCTCTAAAGTCAACAGTGCAACTTTGTCCTCATATTTTGAGTAGCTGCTTTTAGTTTCATCGTTCTCCACCCGACCTGAATGGTCTGGTGGGACGTAAAGGAAAATTTTTTGCAGTCAATATAGCTTGGTTGGGTCATCACTATAGGCAAGCCCGACCACCACATCAAGAGAGCAACTACGGTCGGGAAATTTTATTGTATAAAAACAACAATCTCCATAATACTACAATGAAAAATCTTGTTTGTTCATTGTTAGTCAGTCAATTACTGTTTCAATATAACGACAGGAATCACTTTCATTTGAATCTAATATTATTATTCCACTCATATAATTATGTCAATCCAAAACGATAAAACGAATTTTTCTAAAATTAGCATTTTTTTTAAATTTTACGCTAGAACACATATTTTCTAACTGAATAGTCAGTCATTAGTAATAAATGTTTTTTCAAAATTTTTTCCAACAACTACATTGCAGTTTAGTTGATTTTAGCAAAATGCTAACAGAGTAAATCATTGCATTTACTAAACTTTCTACTAGCTCAAACTAAACAAGTTGCATACTGAATATGCTGTAGTGAAGGAGAACACAGGTGAGGGCAACCGACTTGTATTTAACGAAGATTACAGAGTTACTCAGTAAAATAGGAAAACCATATCGTAAACGGTTAGTTTACAAATCTTCAATCCATCATCAATCCATTGTCTGAAATTTCACTCACTATTCATGCGTTTCATACAAATTCCATTGTGTTCCCACTCTTCTTCCTTTCTTGATCTTCCCCCATCTTCTGCTACCAGACATTACGTTGACACTCATGTCATATACTACTTATAAGTAGCGCGCATCACAATGCTAGTATTTTACTTCAGTCAATGTCTAATCTCAGTTCAAATTATCTGTTTCCCCTCATGTTTCAAGATACCATCTCGTTTCTTTTCGCATCCAATTTAAATCTAAAGGAAATAGGGAATAAAAATAAACATCGAATTTCATTAGACAAAATCATATTGTCCATGTATTCTAATACAATTTACAATTTAAAGCTGAAATCTGTTGATCAGAGAAAATCTCTGTGAAGTTATGAGAATACGTTGCTTAGCCTGTGCGACTTATCGATCCTTCTAACCTCAAAATGGCCAACTTGGCTTGTAGGTCTTAAGCTTGTAATACCTAGTTTCTCAATCAGAAATATTACCAATATGCTACTCGACTCTAAATTAATTTCAGTCGAGGGTAATAAGATCTTCTGTTTAACAGTTTTGGTGACTTGATGTCTGAGTGTGCTTTCTCGTTTAAATACTTGGATCTTGGTTTTATTCTGGCTAATAACCTTCGATCGCTTCCAAGCAAATCTGATCACATTTACTAAATAACTTATACTCGATGGGATAGTTTAAAATCTCAATGATACTGTTTAATCTATTCTAAATACTAAATAATACGACATTGACAACTACAAAACGAATCAGTTATCATAATACACAATTTTGATTCATTCAAATTTTACCTTAATTAATTCAAGAACTCGGAAAACTATTTTTGTTTTTACACATTTGAAATCATCAATCAATCATTGTTACTAGACCACCATTAGAAACCTGGAAGCACTGGTAAGGCGTTCGCCTACAATGCCTAAGGTCCCGGGTTCGAATCCTGTGAGGAGCAGGAGTCGTGGATGCGCACTGCCACTGATGAGTCCCATACCAGGACGAAACGGCCGTCTTTCAGTGCTTCCAGGTTTATAATGGTGGTCTAACAATGATCGGTTGATTGATGATTCCAAAAAAAATATTTTTGTTTTATAGTAATAGTAAAATTATTCAATATTCAATAAACATGTGTATTTCACCTCTGTACACATGTATACAATATATACTGTTTATCATTACATTATAACATAATAATCACATTCATCAAAAAAGTTACAATAAATATTTATCATCATTTCAAATGTTTACATTCAATAAAATTTAATTTTTTTACCTACTGATCTAACCTTGATTATTGAATATTTGTTATAATGTACAGTTCGAAAAAAAAATGACTGACAACTGCAAATTCCATTAAAAAATGTATTTCAGAACTATTAGAACATTTGTATGCATTTTGATCGTATTCAATCTGTGTATCATTTTTTTTACAATTGACCTTGTCAATTGTATTTACAAGTATAGATGAGTAAATAAGTTAAACTACTTATATACTCTGTCTATGAGACAATTTCTTTGAATATTCTTTTTGGATTAGGATATTTGTAGAAACTACTTGTGGTGGTGGTGTTTGGTTCTCTGAGCTGGACGGTGTTTTGGTTGTGGAGCTTTCATTGTTCTCCTACTAAACAACATCATCAGCAGCACAAACTTCAGATAGAAGAAGTGAAGCATTCGAATTTCTTCACGTTTGACCTGTAGCTTGTTCTGCTAACCTCGATCTTGACTGGTTGCTTTTGTTGACCCTAATGTACTAATCACCAGAACTAACGCAGGAAAACCGGAAACTCAATATTTCGGAAACCAACCCACACAGACGTGATTCTCAACTACGAAAGCAACAACCCAAGAACCCACAAAATCAACTGCATACAAACGTTGTTCAAGAGAGCGAAGACACACTGCAGCACAAACGAAGCATTAAAAAACGATGAAAAAACACCTTGTGACTATCTTCCAAAAGAACGGATATCCTCGCAACTTCATCAAAAAACATCAACCGAAACCATCATCAGAAGCGAAATCAAGCACAAGAACCAATAAATGGATCATCCTACCATACATCAAGGACATATCGGAGCATACATCACGACTACTGCAACCATTTGGAATAGGTGTAGCACACAAGCCAACAGAATCATTTCAATCAATCCTATGTAAACCAAAGAATAAAATGTCAAAGGAAGAAAAACCAAATATCATCTACAAAATAAATTGCTCAAACTGTGAAAAACACTACATAGGACAAAGTGGACGACCTCTGCAGCTTCGTTTACGTGAACACCAACTAGCAGTCAAAAGCCACGACAACGCTTCGCTTATATCAATTATGGACATACGTTTGATTGGAACAATGTGGAAATACTGGGTAGGCGGAGGACAAAGAACACTAGAGAATTTTTTAAGCTTGGCACTCAGGTCAATCAGCAGTCAACAAACACATCGAAATTTACCCAATTTATCAACTAATCAGGAAAACCATAGGCGACGTAGGATCAGGCAACAGATCAAAAGGGGGATGCAATCAAAACAAAGGTGCACAAACAACAACATGTTTAAGGTCAACAGCGACTAATCAAGATCACGGTTAACAGATCAAGCTACGAGTAAAACGTGAAGAAATTCGAATACTTCACTTCTGTTACCTGAATTTTGTGCTGATGATGTAGTTCAGCAGGAGAACAATGAAAACTCCACAACCAAAACATCCAGCTCAAAGATCCAAACACCACCACCACAACCATCCACCTGAGCTACAAATCTTCTCCATCATCTCAAAATCATATGAGCGTAGAAACTATCTGTTAAAGGATAGTGGGCTGATTTCAGCCACACAACTGTTGAAAATCAAACAGTTTTTATTGTCATAGTTTAAAAACTAGCAACTAATCGTACTTTACTTTTCAAATTCTTCTATTCACAGAACAAATGACTCAATCACCTTTGAGTACAGTTTCAACTGCATACTTGTTGACTAGATAACTTACTTTTGTGTGAAGCGATGGCTTCTTAGTTAGGGCATTTGAGTTTTACTCATTAGAATCTCACTCCGGCTATTTCTGTTTAGACGGTTATCAGTTATATAGATAGTATGACTGACAGCTCAGTAAATGATTGCATAACTGGTTTCCTTACTTGACAATGAAAAAAAAGTGACTGTATATAAACAAACAGACAGACAGATACAACGCAGAACTTCGTACGTAAGTATATCAGTTCAGGTTGTCATACCACGTTAGCACAGAGACGTAACTGTCAGTTCAAATCTAAGAGTGATAGCGATAGTAGAATTATTAGCAGCAATGAAGAAGATTAGGGAACGAAGATATAATTCGAAAAGTATAATTCAGTGAGATAAATTTAGAAGGAGGAAGATAGAGATTATGAGTGCATTGTTTTATAATTATCCTATATTCCATCTCTTATTAAATTTCTTCCTTGATTTTAATGAATTTTCATTTTTTTTTCAGCTATTAATGCAGCTTATGCTGTATTGAAATATTCAAAATTTCGTGAAATTATGCAACGTTCACGAAGAGATTATCTACATCAATTTTGTACTGAACATACAATTAATACAGAGAATGAAAATTTAAAACATGGTAAGGAAAACTGAGACATTTTCATTTCATTCATTTTAATCATATAATCATGCCTAAACAATGATATTTATTGTTTAAGATAGAGAAATCGACAAGAAACTATACTTGACCTAGGATTCGTCCTATTTGGTGCTCATCATCCAGATACACCAGTAATCTTAAGGGAACTGATGCTTCCTGGCGAATTCGTTCCCATTTAACCGTGCATCATAGTCACAAGCAATACTACTAAGCTATACGCACCATGACTATCCTACCGTCAAATCGATTATTCAGTTGTAAATAATATATAATTTCTATTTGTAATCAAATGAATTCTAACTGCCTATTGGTCAGTTGAATTCACTAGATGATTGGTCAAAACTATGGTTTTCAAACAATCACTAGTCTACTGAATATTATGATTAGCTTTCTACACTTACTGTACATAAATAAAATTTATTAATTATCAAATAAATCAGTTGTAAACTGAATAAATTTCATTTAGTAAATAATTATTAGTCAGAAAGTAACCACTGCACTTAATTTCTGTTACATAAAAGTGTTCTGCTTTACAGAAAAGTAATAGAAAATTATATTTTAGAAAATTTGTATAAATGAAATACTATTTATAAAGTTCTATTTTTACATGCTTAAGAGTTGGATGAATAATATTCAAGTAGTATTTTAAGTATATATGAAATTATTTTCAACTTTTGTCTGCTTTTTAAGTTGAATACATTTTTGGTGTACTAGTGATTTTGGCTGCTTTTCAGTTTATTTTAATTCAAGTGTGAAACAAGTTTGTAACTACTTAGCCCGCAGTAATATTCACCTTTATTAAGAACATAGGTAGCCACTGTTAAATAGATGTCATACAATATTTTTTTGAAAAATTATTTCACCAAACTGTTCTGTAAAAAATATCATTATTTATTAATAACACAATGAAGCAGGAAGTTGTACGTTGAATACATCACAAGCAAATGGTTATATTACAAAGATTTTTACAACAAATAATAGTTATTTTATGTTGAATAATTAGACATGACACAAAATCAGTGACGATACAAGTTTCATTAAGCTTAAACTCTCAAAAACCACAACCAGTATGTCATTCGGCTACAACGTAGAACTTTGTAAGTATGCGTATCATTTCAAGTTACCATACATCATTAGCACACATAGATCGAATTGTCAATTCAAATCCTATAGCGGTAGAGGTAGTAGATGTATTTTCGGTAATGTAGAAGATTGGGGTTCGAAGATATGTTTCAAGGAGTATGATCTAGTGAAGTGAATTCAAAAAAGAGAAAGAAAGCTGTCATGAGGAATTGAGAAGATTAGAATTTAGAGAAGAGAAAGAATGGATGCATCTACGCCACTGCAAGCGGTTTTATAGCCATGTCATTTAGTCTCAAGCCATCAGTTACAATTATTCTGCAGACCCCAAACAGATAGTCTACACCTACTGACATGGCTTATTCCACTTGTCAGTGACTTCTTGGATTTGTGCCATGTTTTGGTTTGGCCGCCCTTAGCTTTCTTCCAACCCACCCCTATATCACAAAACATTGCCATTCGAGTCAGTCGGTGGTTGGACATACCTAAAATCTGCCTCGCTATCGGTGATTGATAACGATATGGTCTAGTCGGGTCTAGCGTTCAGTCGAGTGTGGGTCACCATGTCAAAAGATGCTTCTTGTCATGTCAAAGCTATTTTCGCCAGAAACAGGAGGTTATCTAAGCATAGTTACAGCAGACGGCCACCATTATCTGATTTTTGAGCCACACCACCATAAGATTCCGCCAGTCATCTTTCGGTTTTGCTTAATCTACACGCTTGAGAATTTAAGTCATCAGCCACTATTAATACATCGAAGCCCCTAACATTTTAAGGAGGTCCGAAAGCTTTCTGTGGAACTTATACTTTACATCATCCGCGCTTCAGTCCGTTGGACAGTGGGCAGAGACAACGAAGGGGCAACGGCGAGTGTCCCTATGTGTCCTAGTACTTAATGGCTCGTTTAGTCGGGCAGCGCATAAGCGACTATCTACTGGAATCCAGTATGGGAGAGTTACCTCTGCTTTAGAACATAAAAGCTATGTCCACACCAGCGAGGCTATGGGCAGTAGTAGTTGGCTTCAAGATACACAAAGGGTAAATTGCGACGTTTCTTTATCTCGATATGGTGAGGTCAGATAAATGAATGCACTCGGATCCTGTATGAGCGTATCGGAGACGCAGCGTACATAGATGGCACGAGATTCAAGAGCCCTAGCTGATGAAGCCTGTTGTTCTATTTGGTAGATTGAAAGCATCAACATGAGGTCTGGAGCGTGGTTTCAAGGGACAGATGCTTGAGGCCGGTCATAAACGGCCTTTTCATCGCAATCTTTCGAAGTGCTAACTCCGCTATTCAAAAGGCCTAACCACCGGAAACAGAATTAGCGGGTTAAAGTGAGGTGTATCATCTTTATGGTCGACCCTTTCTAACAACTTCCTTCTTAGTGAGAAAGCAGCATCGCTGTAGATGCTGGCTGTCCGACGGAAACACCTTACTGCTGTCACACTTCTCTACAGTCAACAGTACGACTTCGCCCTCAGACATTGAGTAGCTGCTTTTAGTCTGATCGTTCTCCGATCAACCTGCCTGACATGGTTGAACCTTCAGGAACATAAATTCCAGTTAATATAGCTCGGCTGGTTCATCGTGATAGGCAAGCTCGACCACCACGTCAAGGTAGCAGCTATAGTTGTAAAAACCCACAGTAATAATTTTATATTTGTCTGCTCTAATTTAAATGATACTTCTGCACATACATATTTACAAATTTACAGGACTTCATTTGTGTTAACAGTCAATTATAAACCTAAGTTACATTTTCTTGTGAAGACTTTTGTTACTGTTATGAAATAACACTTATAGAAAGGCAAACACGAAATCAAGAAGCACTGCACAGTTTCTTTTATTCACTGTGTTAAGTAAGCACACGTTATCCACTGATGTCAATAAAAGACGGTCGTAAAATATCATGGAACGACTAAAGCAAAGCTTTCACGCTACTCACTCTCGACTCACTGATCAAGAGATTAAGCTTACTTACTTACTTACGCCTGTTACCCCCAATGGAGCATAGGCCACCCACCAGTTTTCTCCAACCAACTCTGTCCTGGGCTTCCCTCTCCAATTCTGTCCAATGTTTGTTCATTCCTCTCATATCTTTCTCTATTTCTCGGCGTAATGTGTTACTTGGCCTTCCTCTTTTCCTTTTTCCTTGAGGGTTCCATTTGGGAGCTTGTCTTGTGACGCAGTTAGGTGATTTTCGCAATGTGTATCCTATCCACTTCCACCACTTCTTCCTGATTTCCTCATCCACTGGAATCTGGTTTGTTCTTTCCCACCGTAGGTTGTTGCTGATAGTGTGTGGCCAACGAATACGAAGTATTTTGCGAAGACAAATGTTCATAAATACTTGTATCTTCTGGATTTTGCATTTGCACGCAAAACCAGAAGGTCCTAGTGTCATTGATGCATGCTTCTAAAAGTCTTACACTACTAGAAAATGGCTGTTCAGTATTTATGGGTTTTTAACCATCTCATTATTGTTTCTTTTTAGTTAGACACTCGTCAAAAGAAGTGCAACTGTATAAAAGATAAAATTAAGAAATTTATAGATTATTGTTAAATTTATCATTTATAAATAATTGTGAACCTACATTTATTATTTTGTTCAAATTTCGAAACAGTACAACTCTTACTAAACCTACTATATGAATAGGCACTAAAGAGAAGCTTCAACTTTTACAAGTTTAGGGTTAGTAGTCCGAAAAATATACTATTAGTGACCTGAAAGCGTTGAATAGCCGTTCCATCAGAGGATGCAACTCATTGACAGTGGGCTTCCACGGCACCGGCTCGCGAGGAATCGAACCTAGGACCTCCGGTCTCGGACGAGAACGCTTAAGCTCTAGACCACTAAGCCAACCGTTCAGTGCTTCTAGTTTCCTAGTGGTGATCTGAAGTTGAATGATTCATGATTTCAATGAGAACTCACATGTCTCCACAAACCTTTCAATAAAATTATCATGTGCTCACTGGTGGAAAGTTCCGTGAGGACGTTTCTTCTAGTTCCAGTTTGAAGTCATGAATGTTGGAGTTCAGCCCTATCGGATGTAAAGCAGTACCTACCGAAGACGGTAGTTGAGATCGCTCAAGACCGTGGATTGATCGAAGTTAGGCTACAATACCGTTGGATGCTGGCTTAGTGGTCTAGAGGTTAGGCGTTAGCGCGCAAGACCGCAGGACCTAAGTTCGATTCCTACCGGCGGGGGTCATGGACGTGCGCTGCAGATGAGTCCCATACGAGGACGAAACGGCAGCCCAGTGCTTCCAGGTCATTAATAGTAGTCGAACATTTATCTATTCATGATTTCAATGAAATTCCACACCACTCCACAGATCTATAATGAAACAACTATACTATCTCCAAATTATTCTCTTGTTCATTCCTTTATTTCAGGTAAAATGCACATCTATCGAAGACATTCACAAGAAAAATTAAAACAATTAAAAAATTCCATTAAATTTCGTACAAACAACACCGCATCCATCATAGATCGTGGTGACCTTATGCAAACAAAACCGAATAATCATCAACTTGATCGAATTATGTCATTTAACCACATCACCAATTTAATACAATCTCCAAATCATTTCAATCAATCATCCAGTAATCATTTAAAATCATTTGATGCTTTTCATAAATTTCATTCTGATGGATTAATTATTAAATCAAGACAAACTTATCATGAAACAACTAGTACTACTAGTAATAGTACTACTACTACTAATACTAATTCTACTAATACTGATGTAGACAGATCAAAAGAATACATTCATTTATCAAGTACATTTAATAATTTACTTGATTTCGGTCAAACTCTGTATGTTGGTTTAAAAAAATGGCAAAAAATTGATGGATGGCATTCAGTGATGGAATTATTACCGCCGAATTCATTGTTGCCAAACAATAACAATAATCTCAAAACTACAACTACTACTACTACTACTACTACTACGAACGGTGATGTCTGCTCCAAACTGAATCATACATTGCATTCCACAGGAGCATTGAATAATTATTATTTTGAAACACAAATTGGTGTGAATCGTAATTGGTTATTGATTTTCGCGCCATATACTATTTCATCGAATTTAGCCAATCAAATTCTATTAGCTATACCATTAGTTTCAATATTTGCTTGTTTATTTGAACATAATAGAAAAGTGTAAGTTTTAACTTTGTAATATTCATATTTTAAATGACAATATTAGCTCTCTTAGTCATGTAAACCAATGCATTAAAACTATTCACTAATTGAATGATTATTGAGCGGGATAAACTAAACTGTAAAACAATTAGTCGCTTTTATAAATTTTGATCGAACAGTGAGATGACGTAATTGATCTGAAAATAGGTGATGTATTTGCGCCCCTATATATATTTCGAACAATCTGGTCACACGTATTTACTTACTTGTCAAGACATTTTATATGAAGATGAATAAAAGGTCAATTAAATAAAAAGTTCAAATAGACAGACATAAGGTGATATTTTCAATTAGAGTTATAGAGATTAGTGTTTTTACACATTTGAAATCATCAATCAATCATTGTTAGACCATCATTAGAAACCTGGAAGCACTGGACGGCCGTTTCGTCCTGGTAGGCCGGCCCAGTGGTCCAATGGTTAGGCGTTCGCGCACAATACCGAAGGTCCCTGGTGCGAATCCTGTGAGGTGCAGGAGTCGTGGATGCGCACTGATGATGAGCCGCATAAGGTGGTAATTGTAAAACTAAAGGAGAGAGAAAATTAACGTAATATGAAGAGAATAAGAAAGAGTAGGAAAATTGTCACATTACCTGTAGGCTTAAAGATAACCAGGGTAAATTCAAGGTTATGACACATAAGGGGGATTTTAATTTTCTAATAGCCAAGGCCTCCATAAGACAAACTCGTTTGAGGTGAAGACCGGTGTCAGGCAAGGTTGCTTACTCTCACCCTTTCTCTTTCTCCTGGTCATCGACTGGATTATGAAGACGTCAACATCTGGAGGGAAGCACGGTATCAACTGGACAGTTAGGACGCAGCTGGACGATCTGGACTTCGCAGATGACCTGGCTCTTCTATCGCACACTCAACAACAAATGCAAGAGAAGACGACCAGTGTAGCAGCAGCCTCTGCAGCAGTAGGTCTCAACATACATAAAGGAAAAAGCAAAATTCTCCGATGCAACACAACATGCACCAACCGAATCACGCTTGATGGATATGCTTTCGAGGACGTTAACAACTTTACATATCTGGGCAGCATCATCGACGAGAAAGGTGGATCGGATGCAGATGTGAGGGCGCGGATTGGCAAAGCGAGGGCTGCATTTCTACAGTTGAAAAATATTTGGAACTCCAAACAACTTTCAAACAAAACCAAAATAAGGATTTCCAATACAAATGTGAAGACAGTTCTACTGTATGAAGCGGAAACATGGAGAACTACGAAAGCCATCATCCACAAGATACAAGTATTTATTAACAGTTGTCTACGCAAAATACTTCGGATTCGTTGGCCAGACACAATCAGCAACAACGAACTGTGGGAGAGAACAAGTCAGATTCCAGTGGAGGAGGAAATCAAGAAGAAGCGGTGGAAGTGGATAGGACACACATTGCGGAAAGCACCTAACTGCGTCACAAGACAAGCCCTCACATGGAACCCTCAAGGCAAAAGGAAAAGAGGAAGGCCAAGGAACACACTACGCCGAGAAATAGAGAAAGATATGAGAGGAATGAAAAAACATTGTACAGAACTGGAGAGGGAAGCTCAGGACAGAGTTGGTTGGAGAAAACTGGTGAGCGGCCTATGCTGGATTGTGGGTAACAGGCGTAAGTAAGTAAGTAAGGCCTCCATAAACCTCAAAATTCGTCCTTCAACATTTCTATACAATGTTTTGAAGGCTGTCTTGATGTCAATCTTATGCCCTGTCTCAATTATGTGTTTGGCGGTCGACGAACATGATTTTCTATTTCCAACGCTCATCGGCTCATCTAACGTTAACGGATTTTGAAGCCACTTAGGTACATGTTCTATAATCCTTGACTGCAAAGTCCGATTAATCCTTCCTATGTATGTGTGTCCACACAAACATGTAAATTATAACTGATTACTTCTTATCTATGGAGTCTATCTAACAAGTTGGATAATAAGATAACATCTTTCTAAGGTCTATGAATAGACATTATGCTGAATAATTTGAACGTTGGTTAAAATCAAAATTACAGATTTTTATCATAGTTACTAAATGTGTTCAATGCTTTTAGTGTCTCTCTTGTTGACGCCAATTAATACATTTGATTCCCAATAGATACTTAGTATTGATCTTGCTAAATTATCATTAGCAAAAAATATAGTTAAAAATCTCATATTGAATATGTTTACATTAGAATTTAACTCTGGTACTTTCTGTTTTAAATGTAAACTATTAATCCAGTAGGCTATATTGCCTCTAACTCTCTCCAACATCTCGTCTAATGGATTGTTGTTTTAATATTCAGCATTAAAATCTATTCAGCCCATTTTCTTGATTACATATCATTATTCATTTTTGAAACCATGTATCGATCAATGTTAGACCACCATTAGAAACCTGGAAGCACTGAAACACGGCCGTTTCGTCCTGGTATGGGACTACTCAGCAGTGCGCATCCACGACTCCTGCACCCCACAGGATTCGAACCCAGGACCTTCGGTATTGGAGGCGACCACCTAACCATCGGACCACGTTGTAAATGTCTAACTTGATCAATTCATGAAACAGCCATCCAGTGCTTCCAGGTTTCTAACAGTGGTCTAACATTGATCGATTCATGGTTTCAAAAATCTGTAACTTAACAATCTTCACAACCACCCATAATGCACATCATTATTCCTCAAAACGAAAAGATCGCGCGCACGCCTACACCCACATACACACACTATAGACATTTTAGCATAATATCGATTGATGAGATATTTTGGTGCGATCAATGAATTAACCTCTATGACTAGAGTAATTCATGTGGAATATACAATTAAGACGAAATTTTCATTGCATTTTCTCTTGCTTAAATATTTTAAAGATTACGTATCTATTTCGATTGTGGACAATATGTACAAATACAAGATATATATAATTCATATCAAGCGAATGAACAAAATATTTTGGAACAATTAATCAATTTCATATCTTATTGTATATATCCGAAAGTATTACAAAAGGTAAATTTTACTCATCAATATTATTATTATTGTTATTACTATCATTTATATCGCTGTTATTTCATTGGTTTATTTCTAAGCTACTTACTATCTGATCACACTCGTATTAAATGCTCTGGTTGACTCTGTACTCAGCTGCATGCGGTTTGAAATTGATCCGTTGTTCATAGAATCATACTCTGTGTTAAAGTATATATGTATATATATGTGTGATGGAGAAGCTTTGGAGGATGTAGAGACCTTTACATACCTGAGCAGCACTGTTGATGAGCAAGGTGGATATGATGCAAATATGAAGGTATGGATTGGAAAAGCAAGAGCAGCATTTCTACAATTTTAAGACCATCAATAACTTAAAATAACTATCAACTAACAACAAAGTCAGAATTTTCAATATGGAGCGGAAACTTGGTGAATTACAAAAGCCATCATCAAGAAGATACAAGTGTTTATTAACGGTTACCTAGGGAAAATACTTAGGATCCATTGGCCAGACACTATCAGTAATAAACCTGCTTTTGTCTGAGATAGTAACTAGGAATAAGCGTTGGAGGTGGTCGATAGGACAGACACTGAAGAAAGCACCCAAATGAGCCACAAGACAAACCCTCACTTAGAATCCTCAAGGTCAAGGGAAAAGAGGAAGACTGAAATTGGAAAATACTGCCAAGGAAAGAGTAGGGAAGCGGCCTATGCTTCATTAGGGATAACAGGTGTAATATATATATATATATATATATATATATATATATATATATATATATATATATATATATATAACTTCCGATACAACCTCCATTTCTTTCAAATGATCATCCCTGCTTATAATTTGCAAAAATTCTATATGTATCGAAGTCGTGTCTTCGGTACTATATGTACGAAGTTATACCATATCATTTTATTTTGCATATTTTACTTCAAGTATCAGATAATCCTCCAATTTGTTTTTCTGTTGTTTTGACGCTGCCATTGACCTACCCAATTGATCCGTTCGTGTTAGATTAGCACGATTGTTGTTAAATACTGAAAACTTATAACCCTATAGAGAACTCTAAAATAACCAGATATCTAACAGAAACAATTAGTGGTCATTGTTATTTTTTTTAATAATAAAGATACCCTGATATACAATATTTAGAATGAAATATCAATGCATTGTTCTTTAAACAAACCACAATACTATGAACCAGTAGAGTTTATAAATAGTTCTACTGAATAAATATCACTGCCAAAGTTTGACTTGATCATTCAATCATTTTCAATCAGAGTTATGGAGATTAGTGTTTTTACACATTTTAAACCATCAATCAATCATTGTTAGACCACCATTAGAGACCCGGGAGTCACTGAAAAATGGCTGTTTCGTCCTGGTATGGGACTCACCAGCAGTGTGCATCCACGACTGCTGCACCTCGCAGGATTCGAACCCGGGACATTCGGTCTTGGTTGTGAACATATTGTTTATGATAAAAAAAACATCAAAAGTTCAATTATCTACTCCCTGAAATCAGATAAACATATTAATTTATCATAAATATTAAAAAATCCGTTTACAAATAGTAATAATATTATTTATCGAAGAGGAAAGCAAACAATCTCTGTGATTGAATTAAGAAGTCATTCTATCTGATTGTTTATTCTTGAAGACACAAATATTGCTTGTAAACAAACATGTTGAATTCGCTTAATTAACTCTGCACTTTTCATACCATTTATCTCTTTGACTTTTGTAAACATAGAAAATAAATTGTTTTTTCTAAATTATAATTATTTAGATGACTAAACATGTCAATAACTCAAATATTGTAATAGTTTTACTGTCTGTAACACTGAAACACATGAGTTCGAATAGTGCAAAGTGTAATATTTCCCCCTAAAGACAGACACTAGTTACTCATTGTTGATGAGACACACAAACATCAGTAAATGAGTTAGTCTTAAGACTTTCTATCGATTATATTCAGCTGCTTAAAATGTTTTTCTAATATCATTAGCAATATGAAGATTAAACCGAGTATTTTCAATCATTAAAATCGATTCTAGGTCTATTTAAAACTACTATATGTATATATGAATATTCCAAGCAAATCATTAGAAGACTATTGGTTATTCTGAGAAAATTAAATTTCTCTTTCCACTTAGTAAACTATTCAGTAAGTTTTTGGACTACATGATAACTTGACATGAGGATACTGTCAGTTTGACAGTGAGACAATATAGAATCACGGTTAATAATTTATTGTTATTAACTTTTTTTATTAGAATAAGACAAACCAAATTAGGCTTAAATATAGTCGACTTCAAATTGTTACGCTCGACTCTAGGTACGCTTAAACTATGACGAATTCACCTTAGTCGACTAACGAGAACAAAACAATGAACCAGTGTCCAGGTAGGCTACTGTGATCCGATTGTCCGAATTGTATCAGCAAGAAGTCTTGATATAATGTAGAAATCGTATTCTACAAACACACAGCCAGCGATGACAGTAACCGATGGCTAGAGACCTTGAACAACATGGCTCAACATCGTTTGCAATGGCGCAGGTGCATTCATTCATTGTGTTCTCTCAAATGCTGATCTCCTGAATTCCTCATCGCCTGTATCTTTCTCTTTCCAAAGTTATCTCACTGAATTATACTTTTCGATTCACAACTTCGAACTCTAATCTTCTTCATCACTACTAATACTTTTACTATCTTTATCACTATGGGATTTAAACTGACAATTACGCCTCTGTGCTAATGTGGTATGGTAACATGATCTGATATACGTACTTACGAAGTTCCTCGTTGTAACTGACTGACTGACTGTCGTTTATAAAATTAAACAATATTGTTTATTGATCAGTCGATATTTCCTACTATTTCTTTTCAGATCGTTTTTTACCAAAAGAACATAACCTATCGCTTTTAATTTTACTGAAAAAAATGTTGTTTTTTTTACATAGATTAGTGACAGAAAGAAAAATTTTCAACCTAATTTTAATATGTTAGCTATCCATTTTGACCATTTGTCGTAAAGAAAAATATATATATAAGTTTCTAATACACGCAATCAAATAATTACATATTTTAAGTTCTCTTGAATATTGTTTATAAACTTATATAAACGTATGTTATTGTTTGGCTTGAAATTTATATTTTTCATCAACTTTCACTTAACTTAAGATTGAGTTCATCATGATGAACTGTTGTAAATCAACGAGTCACTGAACAATTCGATTTTATGTTGATAAGTGTATGCTTGACCACATTGATCAACAGTGACCACTCATGGATGATAGCACATGTTTGTAGATGATGAGTTTATCACTGACTCTCCAATAAAATATGTTGATCTATGATCAATAAAGCTGATTTCAGTCAGTCAGATGCAACGTAGAACTTCGTACGTAAGTACATCAGTTCATGTCGCCAGAACACATTAGAATAGAGATATAATTGTCAATTCAAATCCAATAGTAGAAGAGGTAGTAAAGGTATTAGAAGTAATCGGAGAAGTTAGGGTTAGAAGATACTATTCAAGAAGTATGATCCAATGAGATAAGTTTAGAAAGTCAAAACTAGAGGTGTTGGAGAATCCAGAAGATTAGAATTTGAGAGAACACAAAGAATAAATGCACTGACGCCATTGCGAACGATTTTGAGCCATGTCATTCAGGGTCTCTAACCATCAATTATTATCATCTCGTGGACCCCAGCCGGGTAGTCGACAACTACCGACATGGCTAAGTCCACTCATCAATGACTTCATGGATTTCTGCCATGTTTTGGTTTGGCCACTCCTAGGCCTTCTTCCAACCTATTCCTACACTACAAAACAAATGTCGTCGAGGCAGTCGGTGGTTGGGCATATGCAGCACATGTCCCAACCACCTCAACTGATGAAGTTTCGTCACTTCATCTATTGATCTGCCATTCTTACCTAGTACCCGTTTCCTAATAACAGCGTTGCTCATTCGGGTGTCTCAGGATATACGATCAATGCTTAGGAGACACCTATGATCTAAAACCAGTGTTCAATGACTATTGATTGTATTATTTTGAACGTCATACATACAATTAAAATGTATGTGTTTATTATTAACGTTAAGGTAGTTTTATACAAACTTATCATAGAATGTTAACATCACTTGTCATAAATAAAATGAATAAATACTAATCATCAGATTGTATAGAATGTAGTGAAAATTGTTTTGATATTTTGTGTAAATTTAATTCAACGTTTAATATGCGGGTTTGATTTTTATTGTTGACAAAATAATATGTAACCTTGAAGAGTTAGTTATATGAGGTGTATTGTGTAGCGACATTGTATAATGACTTTGTGATCAAATAAAATCTTATTCCTTTTTGTTTGATGAAGATAAATGTTTAATCGAAAATGTATTGACTATATCTAGTTTTGAAATCAGCTTAGACACACATTTAGGCGTCCTACAATAGTTGTCTTCCTGGACCTAAAAGCGGCATTTGACTCAGTGGATCGTGAGGTTCTGTGGCAGTGTCTGTCATCAAAAGGTGTACCAAAGAAGTACATTAACCTTATACAAGCACTCTACTCGAACATCATTGGTGGAGTGAGAGCATATGGCGAACTGTCAATGGAATTCTCTACATCAAGTGGTGTCCGTCAGGGCTGTCCATTCTCTCCATTCTTGTTTAACTTTGTCGTAGACATCCTCTTAGAGTTAACATTAAGCTCGTCAGATTTCTCAGGGGTTGACCTTCTATCAGGAAAATCGCTTACAGATCTAGAATATGCCGATGACATAGTTCTATTCGGTGAAGATATTGACAAAGTGCAGAGTCTTCTGACTACCCTAAGCAACAATGCAAGCATGTTCGGGATGCGGTTTTCCCCCTCAAAATACAAAATGTTGCTTCAAGACTGGGTTGCATTGGCACCTGAACTGGTGATAGGCAGTGAAGTAGTCGAACGTGTAGACCGCTTCACTTATCTTGGGAGTCTCATCAGTGCTAACGGCCTGGTGACTGACGAAATCTCGGCTCGGATACAGAAGGCTCAATTGGCTTTTGCCAACCTGCGTCACTTATGAATGTAGGCGAGATATCCGTTTGCTGACTAAAGGACGAGTGTACTGTGCAGTAGTTCTCTCCGTGTTACTTTATGGCTGTGAAACATGGCCAGTGAGAGTAGAAGATATTCTTAGGTTACTTGTTTTTGATCATAGGTGTCTCCTAAGCATTGATCGTATATCCTGAGACACCCGAGTGAGCAACGCTGTTATTAGGAAACGGGTACTAGGTAAGAATGGCAGATCAATAGATGAAGTGACGAAACTTCATCAGTTGAGGTGGTTGGGACATGTGCTGCATATGCCTAACCACCGACTGCCTCGACGACATTTGTTTTGTAGTGTAGGAATAGGTTGGAAGAAGGCCTAGGAGTGGCCAAACCAAAACATGGCAGAAATCCATGAAGTCATTGATGAGTGGACTTAGCCATGTCGGTAGTTGTCGACTACCCGGCTGGGGTCCACGAGATGATAATAATTGATGGTTAGAGACCCTGAATGACATCGCTCAAAATCGTTCGCAATGGCGTCAGTGCATTTATTCTTTGTGTTCTCTCAAATTCTAATCTTCTGGATTCTCCAACACCTCTAGTTTTGACTTTCTAAACTTATCTCATTGGATCATACTTCTTGAATAGTATCTTCTAACCCTAACTTCTCCGATTACTTCTAATACCTTTAGTACCTCTTCTACTATTGCATTTGAATTGACAATTACATCTCTGTGCTGATGTGTTCTGGCGGCATGAAATAATGTACTTACGTGACAGACATTAATAAAAGTTAAACAAGAGAAATTTGTTTTTCGTCATTCTATGTACGCACTGATCATGCGTCATAATCTGTAGAGTTAAAATATCTTGTATTATCCATTAAAATCTATTAGTTTTATTGATTTAACATCCCATTGTATTTACTTTTTAATACTGGAATGTTACGTCATCTACATACAGGATGGTTTATAATTTCTTTTACATCTATCTTATTTGATAAACTATGACGAAAATGTTCCATTTTACATATAAAATTTATCATGTACTAATGAAAAATTAATTTTTCAATAATAACACCGACATTTTAAACACTGCTACTCATTTTCGGACATTTTGATTATATAAAGGATGCCTTTTAAAATTTGCTTGTTCGATTTAGAAAAGTAAAGTAAAAACCCAGAAAGGTGTATATTTGATTAATGAGAAAACCAGGTCTGGAACTTAATAACCGAAAGTATAGATTAAGTAAAATAATTTTAGCCGCTTTCATAGTCGATAGTTTTTAAAATAAGACTTAATTAGGTTATCTAAAATGGGAAGTGTTTTAAAACTGAAAGATTGATTACTGAGTTGTGATCAGTCAATGTAACTTCTCAGACTAACAAATTGAGTAATGCTGACCCTTATCTATCAAGAAATGTCCTTTTTCTGAAGACTTCAGATAGTTGCAAGCACTGGTTGGTTGTTTCGTTGTAGTTTAATATTCATCAGTAGTGCGCATCCACGACTCGATAGAGTGGGAATCAATACCATGACATTCGGTCTCTCGCGTGAACGTCCAAACTCTAGACCAATGAGTCGAGTTTGAAGCTGTATCCATCACAAACAGCGGATGAGGTTGCACAGGCCTGTGGACTGACCAAAGTTAGATATTAACTCCGCTGGACGCCGGCTCAGTGGCCAAGAGGTTAAGTGTTTGCTCACGAGACCAAAGGTCCTGCGTTTGATTCCGACTCACAGATGTCATAGATGCACATTGCTGATGCGTCTCATATTAGGACGAAACGACTGTCCATTGCTTCTAGGTTTATAATGGTGGTTTATAATGATTTCACTGAACCTCAACAATCTCCACAACCCTATAATGAGGATTTCAGATAGGCCATACAGGCGAAAGAACCGTGAAGAAGAGTGTCTTTGCTTTGTTTCATTTGATACTATAGCGTAATATTTAGGTCATTAAGTCAGTCGTGTATATCGGATTCACAACACTAGAGACACCAATCTAAGGTTTTGCTATAAAATTCAAACTAATATTTCGTGTTCTTATCAAAAACTGTAATCTGTTTTTTGTTCCCAGTTAAATGCTATTTTCAATTAAATTTCATATATGACAAGGTCAAGCTATGGACTTTACCAGAAAAGTTTGGTTCATTGTCTTTACATGATTTAGCTGTTTTAAATAGCAATAAGATCCAAGCAGATGTTCGGAGTTTAATCTAGGTTGGTAAATGAAAAGAGCTCACTTATTTTAAAAATAGCATAACATGCCTTCATACCAGAGACAGATAATTTCAGATCATATAATTAGAACCATTTTTCACAACTTTCTACTTATCACAATCTGTTTTTGCAATCCACCAGCTTCCGGGGCAGTTTTCTTCAATGCGCTACTCGAAGTCCTCTCTCTACGATTCAAGCAGCGAACGCAACTAAAGTTGATGAATAAAATTAAGTTACCATTAAAACAATGTGAGTAACCATTCATTGGTTAGTCAGCTCCAATCACTACTCAACTAGCTCAATAATAATATCTCTAAATGACGCTGGTTGATACAAGTTTAAGTCCCTTTGAGGAATATGAGTTGATGGATGATTGATCGTTCACCTTTCTAACTAATATCACTTAACATAGAATAAATAATTCATCGTTCAAAAGTAGCTACCTAAAGATTAGTCATTGAAATAATTTGAATGAAATAAACCATTTGCGTGTACACTATTAACAAAATTCTGTTCAATTTTTGTTCATTCTTCTCATGTCTGTCTCCATTTCTCTGCGTAATGTGTTCCTTAGCCTTCCTCTTTTCTTTTGACGTTGAGGTTTCTAAGTTAAAGCTTGTTTTGTGACACAGTTGTGTGTGTGTCCTATCCACTTCTGACGCTTCTTCCTGATTTCCTCTTCCACTGGAATCTGACTTGTTCTCTCCCACAGTTCGTTGTTGCTGATGGTGTCTGGCCAACGAATACGAAGTATTTTACATAGACAACTGTTGCTTAATGCATGTATCTTCTGGATGATGGCTTTGATAGTTTTCCAAATTTACGACTCATACAGTAGAACAGTCTTGACATTTATATTGAAAATTCTGATTTTGATGTTTTTTAATAGTTGGTTAGAGTTTCAGATGTTGTTCAATTGCAGAAATGCAGCCGTTGTTTCGCCGAACTGTACCTTCACGTCTACATCAAATCCACCTTCCATGTCAGATCCAGTGCAATCTCCACAAACTGCATCACATATTAACCATTATCTGATCTCAGATCAACCAGCACACTAAGATCAACACGCTGCATGTACACAATCGATAACAAGTATTATTTATATATTGGTTAACTGATTTCATTGCCAAAAACATTCTTTAATGACTTATTAAACATGTAATTTCTTTTGTTTTTGTATTTTTTTGTTTCAGTGTAGTCAAGTTTCAATGAAAATTAAAAATACATCAATTCACAACACTGCTAATCATGCAACATTTCATGTACATGATGCTGAAAGTATACATCAAACTAATCATGACAAACTACAACAGCCAAAACAAACAATTCGTCAATTAAGTGAAAATAAATGTTCAACTGCTAATAATAATAATAATCATTTTTGGTCAATATCCGATTTAGGCTTAAGTGTATCTTGTTTAAATCCTACTAATAATAATAATATAGCGCCTCATTCAAACACTGCTAGTACTAGTACTACTACTACGACTACTACTTCGTCGTCATCATCAACAACAACCACCTCATCATCACCATCATCATCATCCTTATTATCATCATATTTTCATTTACCATTTAGTTCAAATCCATTTCCATATATATTAAATTTTCATTATCAAAATAAAGTCAATCATGATCATTGTCATGTATTCAAACAATCCAATAATCAAATACTCTTACAAATTGGTCCATATCATTTACCAGAATTAATACGTATAATACAAAGTAAAAAATCATTATGGTGTTTACAAAAATTCAATTTATCTGGACCATTTGTAAATAATAATTTATATTTTCCGCTAGTGTATGATTTACAATTCTCGACACATTTATTAGCATTAATGAATAAATTGAAATTTTCTACAACATTTAAAATGATTTTATGTGATTTACCAGAAATTGAAATATTGAATCGTGCACGTATACGACAATGTCAACGGCATCAATATGTGAAATATTATATTGACAATAATAATAATAATAATAATAATAATAATATTAATATTAATATTAATAATCATAATAGTAATAATAATATTCGTAAAGAAATACGCTTCTCATATCCTCAAATACTTAACTCTACTAGTTATCATCAACATCAACATCATCATCATCATCAGTATCCTCATCATGTACAGCAACAACAACAGCTGCACATTGATCAATTCAATGAAAATGATGAATTCGGCGAGGTGCATAGAAAATGTCTCCAAACAAAAATGTCACATTCCATACAATTGACTGCATCGATTGATAATGTATTGCCAATGATGAATGCGTCACCACATTATCATACACAACATTCTTTAAGTGGATGTTCCGATCAAAATATACAAACAGTTAGAATGTCACAAGATTGTTCTGATTGTCATAGAAGGAATCAATCGACAAGGTAGGTAAAATTTTTTAATATTGTAGAAATAAACTAGTATAATGCATCCTTGTTTTTTGATAGTCTTTATGATATACTCGTCAATTGATATGCTTGAATGCTGTTACGAGTTCACCTTACTCGGTAGATGCAATAAAGGTCAAAGATGCAGTGACACAACAGGCTATTCTAATCCGTTTGTCCCCGGCCCTGTTAACTACATCAAGAAGTCTTGATGTGGCGTAGAAAAGTGTATTCTACAAGCACCCAAACAGTACTAGGTTAACAAGCAAACAAATTGAGCTTATTTATACATTATAGAAAAATCCTTGGGTGAACTACAACAATAGCTTACTAAAATAACACATCAACCAATAACACAGTCAAGGATTTTCCGTGTGCGAAATTTTAATCTCAAGGTCAACTGGCCAGCCCATGCTCGAAAACAAAAAATTCAAAACTAGGACGTTTTTCAAGTGAGTTTTAAAAAAGAAAAAGACACAAAATAAATCAATTAAACATTAACACTTCTAATCTAGTTTGATGATATTATTATTTTTGAAATTCTGAATTCAATCATTTTTAGTGTATTGATTCTCATATGTAAAATCCATCAATTTTAAATGAGGATGAGTCGAATTAGTCTGTATACAACAAAACTAATGTACGATTGAAATATTACTTGAATTATTTCTTCTGGTTAGCGTTTTTTTGGCAAGCTAGTTTTTGACGGGTTGGGGTCGCCAACCCCATGCCCAACCCTCCTCCTTTATCCGGGCTTGGGACCGGCAGTAGTCCCGAAAGGTCTACACGCGGAGTTACAAATGAAATATACTACTGAATAAAAAATATTTCATATTTTTACAAACAATAAATTATTTTAAAAGGGATTAAAATACCTCTTTAGTGGTGCTTTCTAGTGTCCGACTTTTAAGACTGATAAGATTTAGTGTTCTGTGTACCTACCGTTATAGTTGCTTTGGTCGTGAGAAAGAGTATCGACCTCGTAACTCCTGAAGGAACTCAGCTTTCATCATGAGGCATGATAACTCTTCTAAATGAAGATAGAGTCTAAATGATTTAAATTATTTTCACTGAATGAGCGAGCTGGTTGTCTACAGGATGGAGTCGCTAACCCCATATGTTCAATCCTCCGGGCTTGGGACCAGCAGTAACCCCATAAATGCGTCATGCGGAATATGGTAAAGGTGAAGAAATAATTCATATTCTTTTTCATGAAAATAGGGATGAAGATATGAAAAAAATTATCATTTTTACATCTTTATAAACTTTTTTGCAAATAAATAACTTTAAAACTCTGTCAATCCTTATTGCGATGGATGTCACGTTCTAAATGTCTTCGACTAATTTTCATAGTCAATAATTCCGTTGAAAATGATAAACGTCTTATCAATATTATTTTTAATAATATATTCAACTTATTATTTATAGAGTATTCTTCGCGTTACTTATCAAGTTCATAAAAGTACACCAACATTTTCCGCAGGTGTGTCAGAGGAAACATTTATGAACTAAATGCCTAAATTTAAAGAAATCTAAATTTCGAAAATAGTTTTTATCCATTCAGCTAATTTTTAAAATAATCTCTCTCATAGAGTACATATAAAATCAACTGCTTTAACTGGTTTTAAAAATTCCGTTATCGAGAATTTACCGATAGATTAACACAAATTAAATTGAATCGATCAATGTTAGACCACCATTAGAAACCTGAAAGCACTGGACGGCCTTTTCGTCCTGGTATGGGACTCCTCAGCAGTGCGCATCCACGACTCTTATAACCTGCAGGGTTCGAGCCCTGGGCCTTCGGTATTGTGCGCGAACGCCTAACCATCGAACCACTGAGCCGGTATCTAACAGTGCAGGAGTCGTGGATGCGCACTGCTGAGTAGTCCAATACAGGGACGAAATGGCCGTGTTTCAGTGCTTCCAGGTTCCTAATGGTGGTCTAACAGTGATCGATTCATGGTTTCAAAAATGTGTAACTCAACAATCTTCACAACCCCGTAATACAAATTAAAATGGTCATAGTTATGAAGTATGTTTAATGTTATTTAATATACTTATAGTATGATTCTATGGTAGACTAAATAAACAGGTTGTGTTCATAATAAATATATTTGTAATTCTGGAATATGTCAAGAACAGTGATTTTTGTTTGCAAATTTAACATTAATACACTGTTGGATGCTGGTCTAGAGGTTGTCTTGAAAAGCGAGATCGAAGGTCCTAGGTTCGATTCCCACGTCCGGAGGTTGTTGAGGTCGTTCGTCACTAGGTACGCTTGAAGCTATTATGAGTTCACCTTAGTCGATAAACGCAAACGAGACAATGAACCAGTGTCCAGGTAGGCTACCTTGAATCCCAAACCGTAAAACAGAAGTCTTGGTAAGCGTATAAAGTATATTCTACAAACACCCAGCAATCACAGTACAATCAAGCATACAACTCTCGTTTATTTTTACATCATAGAAACGTCCTCAGGACAGTTACGAATTTAGCACACTAAAATACAAACGCAGCAGCCAATCATAGCCATGGATTTTCCTGGTGAGAAATGAAATCCCAAGGTCAACTGATCAGCCCATGCTCGGAAACGTGCAATCCATAATAAGGCATTTATCAAGAGAGTTCTTGGGATCTAAAATCCCTAACAATGGTAGGCTAAATAGAAAGACTGTCTTCGTAATAAATATATTTATAATTTTGGAATGCATCAAGAACAGTGATTTTTTAGTTTGCAAATTTAACAATCATACACCGTTGGATGCTGACTCATTGGTCTAGAGATTGTATTGGAAAGCGAGATCGAAGGTCCTAGGTTCGATTCCCACGTCCGGAGGTTATTGATGAACACTGTTGTTTAGTCCTATACTAGGTCGAAATTGCTATCCAGTAGTTCCAGGTTTCTAATTGTAGTCTAACATTGATTGATTCATGAAACCCGACAATCTCTACAACTCTATAATGATCTAAATATTATATTTTTTTGTAACAAATGAATGAAAGGAATAATCTATTGAAATTTTGCATTACTTGTAAAAGTTTTTGTTGCCTTAGTAACATTTGATTAAAAAAAAATAAATGTGAAAATAGAAAAAAAATTTTTTTACCTACATATACATATATCATTGCCTTTTTTTTAAGTGAGCTATCTATCCTATAAATACTAACAATCAAAGTTGTCAGAGTTTAATAGTATAGCTAACAATAGTAGGATAATAAGAAGCAAACTTTATCGTATTTTTGAACTCGTCAGCCCGGTGTACTTTCATTACTAGTGTGAAGAAGCTTAAAACTTTCTGTTGGAAAAGTGTATCTCATAAATAGTCACTTCAAATTTCTGAAATTAAACACTTTTACCTTGGTATATGAATAGAATGATTTTGTGGATTGAATTTCTCTTCAAAAAATTGATTTTTTGAAAAGTAGTGATTGATCGATTTCACTAGAATTGTACTACAACAGTAAAACATTACCATTTCATTTCATTGTGTAGAATATTTTAGCAATTCTGATAAATTGGAATTAAGCAGCCTTCCAACATATGATATTCCTTTGAGTATAGATAGAGTATGGAGATTGTTGAATTTTCAAATTTTACTTTAGAATGACAATCAAGACTTCTTGATAAAGTTAGCCGAGCCGGGGACAATGGATTAGAATAGCTTATTGTGTCACTGAGTCATTGCTTCGTCCCGTTTACCGAGTAAGGTGAACTCGTAATAGCATTCAAGCATATCAAGTGATGAGCATCCATGATTCTTCAATGTTTGTAAAGTTCAGCTATGTTAAGTGTGAAGGAGTAATTTGTCTCGGAGTTAGAAGATTATTACGTAACATTGAAGTTATAGTTGTAAGTCATTGGATGCAGGAATAACTGGTTGAAATATTAAGTTCTTGTTACGAAACTTGAAGCTACTTGATTTTTGATCTTCAATCTGCTTATGAATGTACACTCGGAAAAGTTCCATGTTAAGATGAATAATCTGTACAATACCTCTGAGTTTTTTTAGTGACCATCTAATTAGATTTAAACCAGAACAATCAACTACACTCGTTGACTATAATGAATATTTTCGGGCAGAGTGCTCACTAGTGACTAGCTTCGTGAGAAAATTCTCGGAGTTCTAGTTGAGGAGACGTGACCAATGGAGTTCAACCCTGTCGGGTGTAGGCAGTAACTACCAAATACAAATGAATGAGGTCGCGCAAAATCCGTAGATCAATCAGAGTTAGACATTAACACAGTTGGATGCCGGCCCAGTGGTTTGATTGTTAGGCACACAATTGTTACGCGCACAATACCGAAGGACCCGGGTTCGAGTCCTGCGAGGTGCAGGAGTCATGTATGCGCACTGCTGACGGGTCAGTCCCATACCAGGACGAAACGGCCGTGTCTCAGTGCTTCCAGGTTTCTAATGGTGGTCTAACAATGATTGATTGATGATTTCAAAAGTATAATGAATATGTCACGGAAAGGTTATTTCCGGAAAAAGAATCCTGTACTGTATATAAGAATTCATTCGGTTTCAAACTTACAATCTTCAACTAAAACTATTCCAAATATTCACACGCAAATGTAGAAATGTACGACTTGTTTTTTTCCAACCAAATTAATAAATCTACATAATTAATTCATGGAATCAGTAAACTTATATTAGAAAATGTAATAATAGACGGGAGAAAAAATTAGCACTAGCTAATATCCTTAAATGCCGACCGAAGCTGCTACCTTGACCTGGTGGTCAAGGTTGACTATCGTGATAATCCAACCGAGCTATATTGGCTGTAACTTATGTTCCTGAAGGTCCTACCATGCCAGGCAGGTCGATTGGAGAACAATGAGACTAAATGTAGCAGCTACTCAAGGTATGAGGGCGAAGTCTTACTGATGACTGTAGAGGGGTGTGACAGCATTAAGTTGTTTCCTTCGGACGACCAGCATCTGCAGTGATGCTGCCTTCTCACTAGGGAGGAAGGGTTAGAAAAGGTCGACCCTAAAAATGTCACACCTCACCCTACCTCACGGATTTCCGTCTTCGGCGGTAAGGGTGCTCACTAAGGGCTTTTAAGAGTGGAGCTAATACTCAAAAATCCTCTCATAAAACGGCCGTGCGTGACCGGCCTCAAGCAGTTGTCCCTTGGACTCTGCAGTCACGCTCCCAGGTCTCCAAGACCAACAATAATCAATCTTCCTTTTCAGGTTATTCAAGAAACAACCTTCCACGGTGTGGGCAGCGGGGAAGTGACAACCGCCCTCATACCCGTCACAACACACGAGACCAAATCGGTCGAAATCAAATCCTCCCTACACCCACACATACCTCTCCTCTCTCCACAACTAACTCTACTCACAATATCCTTAAATATGCATTATGCTGAGTTAACCTTCAAGATGTTTTGATCACCAGGTTATTCATTAATTACCTTTCAATTGTATAAATCGACATAAGAATTGTGAGGTGGTTGACGGTGATAGTCAGCAAAAAGCCCTGGATCTCGATTTTGTGTCAGTCAGTACATTTTTAATGAGGCATAACTTCAATATTTAGGAGAATGATTTATCTGTTTGATTCCAGACAATCTCAACTAGTCTCACAGTCTAAGAGTTAGCCACTAAGTAATATGACTATGACTGTGACCACTTTTGAGCGCTTAACATCTCAACATAATACACATGATTATAAGTCACTTGAACTAGTTGACTACATTGCAACTTGATCGATAGAACAGAATCAATCCTGAAAGTCTGGACAAAACATTACACTGATCACTACAATAGTTTAAACGTTTTAATGTATACTGAATATAATTTTTATCAGTGATTTCAACCAATTAAATTGTTTTGTTTTTTTCTTTATAAACTGTTCATTTTTTTTCTTTTATACTAGTCGAAAATATCGTTCATTAGATGTTCAACAAATTTTCCCCAATGATCTGTATACAAATTTAGATAATCAACATAGCGTGAACAGTGTATCGTCGGTGAAAGCTGACGACAAAGAAACTTCGATTGATTCCATTGGAAATGGTTTACCAACCATGAATTTAATTGAAACAGCGAATTATGTTCAATCAAGAAGGCGAACACGTAAATTGGAATTGATTTTCTCGAAAAAATCAAATCATGTAAGAAGAGTTTGCTCGGCTTTATTGTTTTATTTGAAAATTGTGTTATGCCTGCACGTAAACACGTCATTTATATATGCTTGAACTACTACGAGTTTACCTAGTCGGAAACGCGAGAACAAGGACCGAGCATACGGCGACACGACATGCTACTCAAATCCGATTATCCTAACCCCTATATTGAGTGAAAATAATAAGACAAGACTTGATATGAAGTAGAACCTGTATTTTACAAGCATCCAGAAAATTTGAGGTCCGAATCCAGAAGATAAACAGGATCCCGGACTAGGAATCCGAGACCGGGTCCTTGTCACAAAACGTTACAGATAATGCGTATTTATACATTTTGGTCGAATAGGAAACAACATCGAAGTCTGTGACATTGACAGTTAAGACGACCAATAGGAAGCAACATTTAAAGTGACACTGATAGTCAGGACAACGAATAAGAAACAACATTGGAGCACGTGACATTGATATCTAGGACGGTTATAAAATTGACCAGTAGAAATTAACCAATAGGAATTGACCAATAATTCTCTTAGGATACTGGATGAATATCCTAACAAATTAAAAGGTGTATTTTTCTTAAAAAATAAAACTAAATTGTTGAAATAATGAGTCCAATCGTTGATAGACCACCATTAGAAACTTGGAACCACCGGACTGCCGTTTTGTCCTAGTATGGGACTCATGAACAGTGAGCATCCACGATCTCCACTCACAGCAATTGAATCTAGGACCTTCCGTACGAATACTTGATGTCTAGACCACTGAACCTGCATCCAGCGGTATTATTATCTAACTTTCATCAATTCAGGGTATTGCACAACCTTTAATAATGATCAAATTCATTATTTCAATGAAACTTAACAATCTCCATAACTCTGTATAATAAAAATAACAAAATCAATCATGATATTAAAAGTTTTTAATTAAGCGAGTGAATTCTTTGAAAGCAATTAGCTATAATTAGTCACTTGTTTACAGTGAATTAAGATGAAATCACCGCTTGAAGTCGCTGACTATTAGGATGTATCGACTTCTTGGTTAAAACTCGATGTTGATGTTGAGCAACATGATGCCAAATCGATCACAATGCCTCAGTTTTATGTAATCCTGACGCTTCCATGAATTTTCAAATAACCACCATCTCTAAGTTCTCATCCTTTGATTGTATTTGTTCTTTTCGAAATACTCTATCATATTTAATTCACTTATTTTTTTTATCCTATACTATTTTTCTTGTTATTTTCATCTAATTTCACTGAAATGTCAAGTGTGAATTTGAACCGAACCATACTTATTTTAAGTCTTACCTTCTATCTTACTTGAACTTCAAACATGACAAAAGGGTGACTATTCAGTCCTAGTAAGGGACTTATCAGCAGTGTGTATCCACAACTCCTGCTTCCCACGGGAATCGAACCCAGGACCTACGGCTCGGCGCAAGAACACTTAACCTCCAAAACATTGAGCAGGCATCTGACGGTGTTAATCTATAACTTTGACCAATCTACAGATTTTACGCAACCTCACCCCATATAGCCATACAGTGCCTCCAGGTTTCTAATGGTGGTTTAAGAATGATTGATTCACGATTCCAACGTAAAACAATAATCTCCATAACTCGATAATTAAAAATTATAATACATATACCCCTATATATATATATATATATATATATATATATATATATATATATATATATATATATATATCGAGGATGCTTTTTTTCAGAATCCTTCCGAATAATAATAAATCGATCACCAGATATTATTAAATACTTCATTTACTGAGAATGATAAAAATCAAATTCAACTTCTTAAATTTGAAAAAAATGTTTTTTTATTCAAAATGTTAACAACACTTGAATTTACATCTCATTTCTGTTGTCGAGTGTTTCTATCATTTGAATATCCTCCAGAAAAGACACATTCCCAAACACTGGTTGAATTTGACTTGCTGGGATTTTCATCCATAACATTGATTTATCAAAAGTGAACTTCGCTGTTCAAATTCATTCAATCAATCGAAGCTTTAAAGCTCTTAACTTAATCATGTCAATTAATGTTTGAAGCATAAATTTGTATGTTTTCGTTTTAAAAACATTTTATCTAGACAAGTATCATCCCTAAACATTAAATTTATACGATAATTCATACTAACTGACTAGTTATGATAAAAACAGGAAAGGTATTTTTAGCACCTAAAAAGGATTAGACACTGATTCATAAAACAGAGCTAGAGATTACATAACGTATTTTTGTGAATTTATTCTAAATCAACTATTGTGGTGGTGTTTCGTTATCTGTGAGCTGGATATTTTGATTGTGGAGTTTTCATCAGCACAAACTTCAGATAGAAGTGCTAATGATGATGTTGTATTCAATAGGAGAACAATGAAAGCTCCATAACCGAAACACCATCCAGTTCACAGAGAACGAAACACCACCACCACCATAATTATCCACCTGAGCTAGAAAATTTTCTCCATCATCTCAAAATCAACTATTTTGAAAATTGTTCAATTATTTTTTTTTGTTTGCTTCATTTTTTTTACATCCTACTAGATGAATAATTCATCAACTGTTGTGGATCAGCCAAAAACTGATGAACAGTGTCTGAATAAGAAATCAGAAATCACAATATTTAATAGTAATTATCAAGGTAGTATTTATGATATATATATATATATATATATATATATATATATATATATATATATATATATATATTACTGTTACGCTCGTCTCTAGATATGCTTAAACTATTACGAGTTCACCTTAGTCGAATAACCAGCGTCCAGGTAGGCTACTGTGATCCCTTGACCAAATTGAATCAGCGAGAAGTCTTGATATAGTGTAGAAATTGTATTCTACAAAAACCCAGCAAGCACACAATGAATTCAAGCACTCAAATTACGCTTTATTTATACTCTATAGAGACGTCCTTGGGATAGTCACAAAAATAGCACACTAAAATGACACAGTAACTAATGACAGCCAAGGATTTTCCTGGTGAGAAATGTGATCTCAAGGTGAACTGATCGGTCCATGAAGTAAATCCAAAATAAAGATATTTATCAAGCGAGTTCTGGGTATCTAACATCCCCTATATATATATATCTAAGAAGAGTATTGAATGACAGACAGACAGATACAACGCAGAACTTCGTACGTAAGTACATCAGTTCAGGTTGCCATATCACGTAATTGTCAGTTCAAATCCAAGAGTGATAGCGATAGTAGAATTATTAGCAGCAATGGAGAAGATTAGGGTACGAAGATATGATTCAAAAAGTATAATTCAGTGAGATAAATTTATAAGGAGAAAGATACAGATTATAAGGAATTTAGAAGGTTAGAATTAAAAAGCACACAAAGAGTGGATGCACCTGCGCCGTTGCAAATGATTGTGAGTCATGTCCTTCAAGGTCTCTAACAATTGGTGTTGAATGAAGAAATTATCTTTTAACTAATAAGCTTTATTTATTGCTTAATTCATCAAATCAGGGTCGAAATATAATTGATTTTGAGATGGGTTTTAAAGAAACATCCCTTACCCATGATTCGAGTTACAAAACCTAGTAGCTAACTCAGTTCAATGTTCAGTTATCGGTAATGAAGCGCTAAACCCAAGTATCATGTATCTATGTATTGGTCACAGTTTATATCAATCTGATTATTAACTCTGTATGCAAAAAATTTGTAGAAGATTTAAATGACAATTATTCATTGAAATCAAGAGCAAAAGCATCTTCTCGCTTTGTTTTTATTCAGATAAAAGTGAAACGAACAATAAAACCCCTAATCCATTTGGAACATGTACAACTGATGTCAATGATCAGGTAATTGTTTTTTCTCTTAACACCTTCAGTTTTCATAAAGCATTGTTAACATCTACTGAAAACAAACAGATGATCGAATGATCGATTAAGTCATTATTTTCAATCTAATTACCTCAATGAAATTGATTTATTGATGCCTTTCTTATATTTGATGGATTGTCATTGAATAAATTATTGAATGGTTAAGAACATTTAACATGAAGTTTATGAGCTTAGACGCTTGTGAGAGTATTCAACAATGAGATTTAGATACACACTGAAGCAAATGTTTCCTTACCTTAAAGATTGAAGTTATCAGCACTTGATTATGCAATATAGTGTGTGGTGTGTACTAATATGTCAAGCCCAAATGGTCTGTCCCAGTCTTCGAAGAAATTAATCGAAGGCTTTCTTCTACAGTTATTCACACGTCTTTCGATCTTGTCTATGATTCACTCCTCGACATTCGCATATCATTCGGCCTTCGCTTCGAGTATGTCTGTGCATTTGTGATCGGTGTGGTGCGATAACAAACATTATCGACGCTTCATATTCGTCTTCTAAATAGTATATACCGTTGGATGTTATCTAGTAACGGTTATCAGGACGAATGATATTCGAATTTCAGGGATTACATCGAATGTCCACCACCACAATAGGTAAAATGTGATTTATGTCAACGATTAGACAATACAACAGTGTTCACAATTATGGACAGACGTTCGATTGGAACAATGTGGAAATACTGGATAGGGGAGGATAAAGAACACTAGAGAATTTTTAGAAGCTTGGCACTCAGGTCAATCAGCAATCAACAAACACATCGACATTGACCCAATTTATCAAACAATCAGGAAAATCATAGGTGACACAGGAACAAGAAACAGATCAAAAGGAGGATGCAATCAAAACAAAGGTGCAAACAACGACAGGTTTAAGGCCAACAACAACCAATCAAGATCGAGGTTAACAGAACAATCTACAGATCAAACCTGGAGAAATTCGAATGCTTCACTTCTATCTGAAGTTTGTGCTGATGATGTTGTGTTCAGCAGGAGAACAATGCTAGCTTCACAACCTAAACACCGTCCAGCTCAGAGAACAAAACACCACCACAGTGTTCACTAATCATTAATCGATTTACCTGTATAGTAAGTAATAATCTCTATTAATCAATAGATATCAAATGTGCACAATTGAGTTTAGTATTCACTGAAACAGTATATTCACATTTCATTAAAAAAAGAACTTCTATACTCTATTTACAACTTGCTCTTGAAATAGTAATTGAAAATGAAAGTGTGACAAAATAAATAATGTAGGAAAGTGACTATTTTGTAGTAAAGCTTACTTTCATGTGTAGAGTTTGAGATATATATTTGTTTCAGTTGGACTTAAATGGGTTTCTTCTGTAGGTATATGCATACTTCTATATCATTAAATATTAACAAACTTACTAATAGTTTGATTATCTTAACCGTTTTGATAATGATAAGTATTTTCAACAAAACTAATACATCTATCGAATATACATTTAGATGGTCACTTTCTTGTCAGAGAGTATGCATTGGAAATTCAGTGACACTAATTACATGCCCTAACTAAAGATGGAACAATGTACTTGCTGAATTTCAAACGCCTTAACCGATAAGTCATCGCTGTATGATCATTAGTTAAAACAACTAATAAACAGTAGGACTGTTTATTCATTCAACTACACGAACATTGAATAATTTGAAATAGGGTATAATCACAGAAATATACAGAAGGCTTGATTGGCTTTTGCAAATTTGCGTCACTTGTGGCGAAGGCGAGATATCCGTTGGCTGACTAAAGAACTATGCAGCAGCTCGCTCTTCCTACTTTATGACTGTGAAACATGACCAGTAAGGGTAGAAGATATTCAATCGTAGGTTGCTAGTTTTTAATCATAGGTGTCTCCAAAGCGTTGCTCGTGTGTCATGGGACAACCGAGTAACCAATGCTGTTATTAGGAAGCGGATGCTAGGTAAGGATGGCAAATCAATAGATGAAGTAGTGAAACTTCGTCAGCTGAGGTGGTTGAGACATGTATTGCGTATGCCTAACTTCCGACTGACGTGATGAGCTATGTTGTGTAGTGTAGGAGTAGGTTGGAAGAAAGCTAAGGGCGGCCAGACCAAAACACTGACAAGTGGACTGAGTTATGTTGGTAGGTATCGACTACCTGGTTGAGGTCCGCGAGATGATAGTTAGAGACCCTGAATGACATGGCTCAAAACCGTTTGCAATGGCGTAGGTGCATTCATTCTTTACGTTCTCTCAAATTCTAACCTTAAGCTTCTTTCACTAGATTCTACTTCTTAAATAATATCTTCGAACGCTAATCTCTCCAATTACTGCTTATACTTTTACTACCTCTACTATTATGGGTTTTGAACTGACGATTTTGTCTCTGTGCTGATGTGGTGTGGCAATCTTAACTGATGTACTTACGTACGAAGTTCTACGTTGCTGTTGACTGATTGATGGAAATACAAATACAGTCAAAAGTTATCAATAAACACATATGACATGATTTATATCTATCTAATTTAAACCTATCGGAAGTTTAGCACTCAACCAATTATTCACCCGATGACTGATCGACTTTTGAAACGAATTTAACATCAAATTAGTTGTATAGTTTACAACATCACAGATTATCAGATTAGATAAGCAATTATTGAAAACCTAAAAATATTGGACAACTATTTTTCCATAGTATATGACTCATGTGACCTCAACAGTAAAGGTCAAACCCAAAATTTTTAGATCTGATATAGAGAGCTGAACTTTTATACTACTGAATTAATGCCTAATGGTTTGCATGTCAAACTTATGCGTAGCCATCTTTCATGGTGTACTCTATAATCTCCCTATGATTCCAGATATTTTGATAATGAGTGCTGACTAACATGAAACCTAGATCCATGGATTTTTACTGATTTCTATATTAACGATACAATATCAAAACATTTTACACAACTATCAACTCACTCAAACTAGTTTCAATCCAATCAATACTTAATCTCTTTATAAATTTATATATATGAACTTGTAAAGGCGTACATATTGACGCAGGTGTAGTAGAACCATGTATGCTATCAAATGCACTTATCTGCTCGCTACGTGTAACTTTGCTATTCGCTTATCGTTTATGCTATATTTAGATAGTTAATAGAGATCAGTATTGTGATTATTGAAGAATGATTTCCACAATCATAAGAATAATAAGAATTTTAGAAAATACAATTTTTAATCATCAACAATGTATTACTGAATACTTATTAATCAGTAGTATCATCGCTAAACAAGAATATCATAAAATTCAATTGAATTAAAAGTCTCTTTTCTTATCTTCAAACATCTATAACAGAATGTTTCCACAATTTTTGTCAATGACAAAATACAAATTGTCAATAAATCCAATGTGGAACAAACTAATCTCAGTAGTTGTTCATTGTCGACATCGAATGCAGATTCGATTAAAACAAATGATTTATCATCAATAGATCAGTCAACAAATTCCAGTGTTAAAACAACAACACCAACAGCATCGGCAACAACAATAAGAACACCACCTTATGTACCAGTGAAATGGAGACGTGCTAAACTGGAGAAAAATAATTTACATTGTAATACAGATGCTAAAATTATTACAATACGTCGTCGATTAGAAAACACTGGAGTGAATACATGGAATACTAAATCGCATACAACGACTACATTGAATAAATTAGAACACAATCGGTAGGTGTTATGATTCTTTTTTTTTAATGAAGTTTTAGTCAGGATTATATGATGATGAATAAGAAAACTGATAAGTTATTTAACTTTTAACACTGTTGAATGTCGACTTAGTGGTGATCTAGAGATTAAGCGTTCGCTCGCAAGACCAAAATTCCTCAGTTCGAATTCTGCTAATAGCAGAAGTTGTGGATGCGCACTGCTGATGAGTAGTCCAATATTAGGACGAAACAGTCGTCAAACTGGATATACCAGCAAAATGTAGGGAAAACATTAGATAATCAACACCCCCAGCAGATCTGTTCACTATAGATAACGGGGAGGGGGGTTAAAAGGTTTAACCAACTCCAGAACCTCCATATAAACTAAATTCTATATAACATAAGGAAGGAAACATCAGCCACAACATTATTCAAAGTAATTTTGTTCCATGAAGATTTCATTGATCCACCAATCATTCTCAAAGCGCAACTTCTTTTACTTTATGGCGGTTGATTTCTGCAGCTGGCTCACCATTTTTGTGTACACTGGCGAGCGAATGAGTGACCGAAACGAATCGTATGAAGCAATGTGGAGAAGGCTAATGAGCCAACTCCCAGGATTACAATGCGAACGAATAGGCGAAGGAAGCGAATGAACAGGCGAAGCGAGTTGGAGAAGGCTAATGAGCAAACTCCAAGAGATAGAGCATGACTATGAATAGATAGTCAGACATAAATAAGACAGACATATGATCAACGAGATAGGCATGGACACACATGAATAAAAGTGACGAATGGTTGGCAAAGTCAAAAGACAAGTGGGACAAGTCATGTGAACTCATACAAACTAGACAATAATCAGAACGAATGGTACATACAAATTGTTGCAATACAAATTATGGCTTGGTTAAATAAATTAATCGAAAGGGCTTAACCAAATTAAATTGTAAGCGAACTCGAATATACGTGGAGGCACTACAACGTGATTCGTTTAATTAAGATGCCATTAATAAATATTTATAGAAAGAGTGTGATCACAGCGTATCACGGGATTCTAAGCTATACTTACAAATGAACAGACTATCTTGCTGTGGTCAATTACAAAACATTATAATTTAAGTTTTGTACTATTGTCAACCATTTAATGGGTGGTCAACATTGTGTCGTTCAGTGCTTTCAATGGTGGTCTAACAATGACTCATTGATGAATTCAAGGTAAAAATAGATCTGGTTTAACTGATCTATTAAACAGAATTCAAAGTAATTCAATTTTGAGCTGGCTGTACAATCTGTGTAAATAATACACGGGTTCGGTGATGATTCTATTCAACTGTTCAGATAGAATTAGATTAAGAGGCGTTTGAATCTATAAAATCCAAGTGTTTTTAGTCATTCTTAAAATTTGTACATATTACCCTTTATTTGTTTAATTCTTTGAATATATAACCCAATAGGATGAGATTGGAATGTTTACAAAGTAATTTTGTTGTCTACTGATAGCAATGCATTGGGGTTCATTAATGAATAGATTTTTATGAATATCACTACTAATCTTTACATATTGATTAAACATTTTACTTTTATTCTATGATTTATTAATGGAAAAAATATTTATCAGTTTTAAGTAGTCGCTTTTTTCTGATTGACTGATAGTGGTAAGTAATGACACTTAGCATATTCGGCGAAACTGCCTTCCTCCAACCAAAGTAAAGGGTTAGAAAATGTCGGCTCTAAAAATAACATATTTTACCTTGCCCCACAGATTTCCGTCATTAACAGTAAAACATCTCAAGTACAAAGCTAGTCATTTCAGAAATGACTGACAAGGGATAGTATGATATCGACCCTTGACATAACCGGTTGTACTCTGTTGTCACACTACCAAGTCGATAAAACTACTGCATAACTCAGTATCTTTTTGAGTTACCTTAATGGGACTGAATCCAAACTAGGATAAAATTTTTGGGGACGTTAGATCCCCCAGAACGCATTTGATAAAAGTCCTAATTTTGGATTTTGTGGTTTCGAACGTGGGCTGATCAACTGATCTTGAGGTTACATTTCTCGCTTGGAAAATCCTTGACCGTTATCGGTCGATGTGTTATTTTGGTATGCTTTTTTGTTGCTCTCCCAAGGACGTTTCTATCATGTATAAATAAACTCAATCTCTTTGCTTGCCAACCTCGTACTATCTGGGTGCTTGTAGAACACACTTCTACGCATTATCAGTTAGCATGGCCCGGGGACAAACGGATTAGAATAGCCTGTCGTGTCACTGCATCATTTGTCTTCGCTGCCGTTTACCGTTTAAGGTGAACTCGCTGTAGTTACAAGCATATCAACTGACGAGCAAATCAAAAATACATATCAACATTCCCAATGGTTATTATCAAACCATGAATAATAAGTATGTTTAAGAATGAATGAATGAATCTTAACCAATCACTTTACTTTATCATCACACCTTTTTTTATTTTTTGAATTAAAGATCCAATAATTTAACATTGAATACCAATATGAAATTTATCAATCCTTCAATTAATTATATCACACCAATCAAACAAAAAAGTCGTCTAACAATTAGTAAAGAAACTTTTACCCAATCTCATGATACATATGAATTCAACAACAATAGTACTACTACTAATACTACTAATACTACTACTATTACTACTGCTACAATGAATCAATGTAATGATGTGGCAATTCAACAAAAACCATATGATTTCACAGAATTAAATGAAAATGAACTTCGAAGTCATTTAAAGAAAATCAATGAAGAATTGTTGTTAGTAAGTTATATATTAAATTACTGTTGTAGATAGTCATTATTAAATTAGTAATTTGTCTTGTCTTATGACATCAAATGAAAACAAATGTTCGTTAACATCTCCAGTTATTAAACTTGTCATTATACATATAGAAATTCCTCTAGAAATGACTTCATGATAAACTGTGACAAAAACTTACTTACTTAATTACTTAATTACGCCTGTTACCCTCAATGGAGCATAAGCCATCAACCAGTATTCTTCAGCCTACTCTGTTCTATGCCTTCCTTTCCAATTCTGTCCAATCGTTGTTCATTCTTTTCATGCCTGTCTCCATTACTCGGCGTAGTGTGTTCCTTGACCTCCCTCTTTTCTTTTGACCTTGAGGATTCCAAGTGAGGGCTTGTTGAGTGCTATCCTCGATGTGTGTCCTATTCACTTACAACGCTTCTTTCTGACAATGACTATACCCGGAATATTGTGCCTTAGAAAATGTTCTTTTTAAACAATCCAACCTTTTGAGTTTCTAGTACTAAACTTTTGAAAGGCATTAACATTGTATGACATTCAGATAATGATGGCTTCGAAAACTTTTTTTGCGATTATTTTAATGCTGATCGTTATCAAACTAAAATAAAATTGCACATGATTTCTTAAAAATTTACAATTATTAACAGTTTTTAGGCATCAATACATCTGTCTAATCAGACATTTGTTTCAGCGAAAATATTATGTGAAGATTAGTTTAATTTCTGTGTCATTTGTCACAGAATGGTCTCAGATGGGGGTACCACTGACAGTCAGGGAGCACTAAATAGTAGTTTTGTTACTATTGGAGTTCCCACGTGTTGTGAAGATGAAATAGTTCTTATTATGTATGGTAAATTTATTTGAGTCAGAATTGTACTACTGAATCATAGTCCGATAGATTCTAACGGTAAGGAATTCGCTTTGACACCTGAAACCCTTGGGTTCGACCCCTGATGAGAGGTTGTAATTGGGCACTGGTTAGAAATTCCATGCTAAGAGAAAACAGTTTTCCAATTATCTTTGATATTCAGACAATAGAGGTGTAGGATTTAATTTGTCCTATAGATGAACTTCTAGAACTGTGAACGCAATATTGGCAAGCACAGAGTCTATGGGAAAGCTATAGTCAGAAGAAGACCAATGTTGCTTTAAACTTTATCTGTTTCTAAACATAAAAACACTTAGATTAGTACAATAAATAAGCAAATTACAAATTATCAAGTGAAACGATCAAACATACCGACCGATATAGCGTGTCTTATGGAGATGAATAAAACTATGAGTCACATCAATATAATAAGATAATAATGTCCTTCAATTGGTAGGTCATTTACAACAAACAAAGTTTAAGCAGATCAGGTGGTGGGCGCTTAAACTACAATTTGATTGGTTAGTTATGACATAAGTACAATTAGTTATGGAAATAACTAACAAGAGGAATATCTATCTCAATTAGAATAGTTTGTAATAATTCTGTGTGATTCATTCAAAGCACTATGTAAATCTCCATTTATGATTGCTGATATAGAGCTACCTAACCAACTAGATGTTTAAGGTTAACAAACTGATAGTGTTCAAACTCAAAAACCACCATTACTTAAACCCACCCAAAAAGTGTATGATTATTAATGCAAAAATATTTGCAATTGTTACAAACCTCAATCTATGAGGTAACTAGAACATTTAACGCACGCATCAGCACACATAGAAGGCAGAAACTCTTGATGAGACAATGATATAATGAATGTATCTCATAAACCAAAAAAGTAGAAACAACTGCAAGTAGATGTCGGTGTGTAGTGAAGGAGAACACAGGTGAGGGCAACCGAATTGCATTTGACGAAATTACAGAGTTACTCAGAAAAATAGGAAAACCACATCGTAAATCGTTAATTTGCAAAATATCAGTTCATCATCAATCCATTGTCTGACATTTCACTCACTATTCATGCATTTCATACAAACTCCATTGTGTTCCCACTCTTCCTCCTTTCTTGCCTGATCTTCTCCCATCTTCTGCTGCCAGACATTACGTTTACACTCGAATCATATACTACTTATAAGTAGCTCGCACCACAGGTGTCGGGTTAACAGTGACTGTTTACCAATCGAAACGGAAACAAGCACATATAGCATAAAATAGAAGCTATCACAATTGAGGAAAGATACAATGAATGCACAAATGTTGGAAATAATATTTACCATTACTAAAACGTTGCAATTATAATAAGAAATAAACTGAATATTACGAATTTACGTCAATCTTTAAAAACACTTTTCAATAGAATTGAGAATTCAAACTAATAACTACTGTAAATTATTTAAGTAATATGACTAAAATACACAAAATGTTATCGAGTAGTTTTAAATGAAGGTAAAAAGGCTGAACTGAATTAACAACATTAATAATTTAAAACATATGATAATAATAATAATAATAGTAATAATAATAATAACGGTAATAATAGCAATAGTAATTAGAGAATTAATAGAGAAAATCATATCATAATTCAAAATTCATAAAGAAATAACTAACTTCATTAGTAGAAAAGTAAGTTAATGATCAAATAGTTTTGAAAACGGTTGCTCATACATTTAAGATAAATGATTGTACTGGTTAAATAGATCCACGATAAATCAAGGCTATAAGTTAATTAATGAAGTCAACTATACTATATCAGTATCAGGGCAAGATTACTAGACTCTAATTGGAACTTATTCACTTTGAACAACAACAGAACTAAAAGTCAAACACACCCAATGAGTTGTCAAATCAAAATATTATCGGGAAATAAGAGATTTATGAATCTACAGAAATATTCTAATTCATCAAATGACTTAAGCTATCGAAAGTCTGGAAGCATTTCTAAGTTTGCTAACTTTGAACCATGAATCAATGGTTGTTAGACTACCATTTGAAACCTGGAAACACTGAAAGATGGCCGTTTTGTCTTGGCATGGGACTCGTCAGCATAATACATCCATGATCCTCGCAGGAATCGAACCCAGGACCTTCAGTCTTGCGCGCAGATGCGTAACTCCTAGACCGCTGAGCCGGCTCCCAACGGTGTTAAAGTCTAACTCTGATCAATCTAAGTTTTTGCGCAACCTCACTCATTGTCTTCGGCAGCTACTGCCTAAACCCGACAGGATTGAACTTCACTGGCCATTTGCTCACTAATGACTACCTTCTTCAGGAAATTTTCAGAGTTCTAGCTAGAAGCCGTGACCAGTGGAGTTCAACCGTCGGTTGTAGCCACTAACTACCGAAGACAATTGGTGGGGTTGCGCAAATTCTTAGAGTGACCAGAGTTAGACGGTAACACCGTCAAATCCCAGTTCAGTCGTCCAGGGGTTGTGCATTCGCGCACTAAAACGAAGGTTCTAGGTTCGATCCCGGTGAGTACCGCGAGTCGCATATGCGCACTGCTGATGAACGAACGAAACGGTTGTCCAACGCTTCCAGATTTCTATTGGCAGTCTAACAATGATCGTTTCATGTTTTCAATAATAAGCAATCATCTCCATAACTTTATAATACGAACTAATTCTGAATCATTTATACTTCTCTACAGAACATTTCATTGTCATAAATATTTGTACAAATTTCTCATACTCAATTAATACACTTAAATATATCAATATTTCAATAGTAAGATAAATCATGTCACTATATCTAATTAAATTAGGAACAATCTCGTCGAAATCATTTAGCAAGTATATGTGCTGATCTGATGGAAGAGAATCGTAAACTTCGTGATGGTCAATCAAACAAGATGATTCAACAACAACACGAACAACAACAAGAACAACAAATTGTAACCACTGATCATACAACTCTTACTTCATTATTACCAGATCAATCAACTGGATCAATGTATAAAAATTATAAAAATAAAAAAGTAAAATTAAATTTTATCAATGGGAAAATTAAACAAATCAGTAGTAATTCAAGTATATGGAAAAAATCTAAAGTGAAATCGCATATTTGTAATCATGAATCAGATATTTGTAAATGAAAAGAAAAAAAAACTAAACTATATACATATATACATATATATATATATACCTGTACATATATATAAATATATTTTTTATGCAGTATTCTTCTTTGTAATATATATATATATATATATATATATATATATATATATATATTTCCTTTATATGATGCCTTTATATAATATTATGATGATCTTTGAACTCTAATCTCTTCTATTACTGCAAATACTTGTGCTATCTCTACTACAGTGGGATTTAAAATTGACAATTATGTATGCCTAACCACCGACTACCTCGACGAGGAGCTATGTTTTGTGGTGTAGGAGTAGGTTGGAAGAAAGCTAGGGGCGGCCAGACCGTAACATGGCAGAAATCCATAATGTCACTGATAAGTGGACTGAGTCATGTTGATAGATGTAGGCTACGTGGTTGGGGTCCGCGAGATGATAATAATCGATCGTTAGAGACCTTGAATGACATGGCTCAAAATCGTTTGCAATGCCGCAAGTGCATCCACTCTTTGTGTTCTCTCAAATTATAACCTTGTGAATTCCTCATCAATTCTTTCTTTCTCTTTCTAAACTTAACTCACTGAATTATGCTTTTCGAATCATATCTTTGCTCCCTAATCTTCTACTGCTCATACTTCTACTATCGCTATCACTCTTGGATTTGAAATGACAGTTGCGTCTCTGTGCTGATGTGGTATGGCAACTTGGACTGATGTACGTACCTACGTACTAAGTTCTACGTTGTAACCAACTAACTAACTAACTTTAATATATGAGAATGTAAACTACAAATGAAAGTAGTTAGTTACAGTTTAGTCTTTGAGTAAATGTTCATTTGATTAGTAAAAGTAGAAATATGTGTCGAAAATATTTCAATGGAAGCATTATTTCCATATGAGGTGATTAGTCAGTCAGTATACACTATAGATGTGGTCATTTAGATCAACTTAAGGTTTTAGTTATCTTTACCAATGACAAATAATTATCAACAACCTTGTATTTCTTTGTAACAAGAAGGAAATATATGTATGTTCACTGAAATTCAAAAATTTATCATCGATGGCTAGCTAGAGTGTTAGTGAATCATACAGTTAGGCGCTTTCCACGTGTAAATGAATCTCTTGACAATTAGCGGTACTATTGTAGTGAACAAGAACACAGATGGGGCAACCGAATTGTATTTAACGAAATTACAGAGTTACTCAGTAAAATAGGAAAACCATATCGTAAATCGTTAATTTGCAAAATATCAATCCATCATATCAAACTAGACTGTTCCTGTTGCAAAACATCAATCGATTGTCACTATTCATGCGTTTCATACAAATTCCATTGTGTTCCCACTCTTCCTTTCTTGATCTTCCCCCATCTTCTGCTGCCAGACATTACGTTTACACTCACGTCATATACTACTTATAAGTAGCTCGCACCACACTATATGTAAGAATACACCATAAAGTTTTGATAAATAGTGTGATCGGATTTCAATTTGTGCAGTAAGATTGTAGATTGATCATTAGGATTTATAAAAAATAGTGTGATTATTCGACAGAAAATAAAATCCTCAGTGAAAAGGCAGTTAGAAGACAATAATAAATGATCAGTAAAGTTGAGCGATTTCATTTCACGAAAAAGATACATGAATATGCAAAATAAACGATACGACCTTGATACTTACCGTTAGCATTAGAGCTTATGGATTAGATTTTGTCATTCATTATATGAACTTGTCACAACGTTCTCTCAACAGTAGTAGCAATTTGTGTGAAACCAATAACACTATCTATATGGAGGTGCGGAGAAATAAGTTTTCAAATGGCTGTTACATCGTCTTTCGAATAGGTGATTAGATATCAACTTCATCAGTAGCTTTTATCTAAATAGACATGCACTCAAATGGTTCCTTAGGTATCTGTAACTTCGCTGATAAACTTAGATTCACTAATTCAGATAGTGGACAGAATTTCAAATTCCATCTGTTGAGACTTCAAACATCTACGCTGAAATTGACACATTTCTTCTTCACAATCATTTGTCATTGTTTAGGCACTCGACAAAAATAGATTTTGAGATGGTGAGGAAAATTTGTAGTTCAGGTAGATGATTGTAGTGGTGTTTCGTTCTGTGAGCTGGATGTTTTGATTGTAGAGCTTTCATTGTTCTTCTGCTGAGCAACATCATAACACAGACGTAAACCTCAACTTTGGTAGCAACAACCCAAGAACCCACAAAATCAACTGCATACAAACTTTGTTCAAGAGAGTGAAGACATAATGCAGCACATATGAACCACTCAAAAACGAGGAAGAACACCTTATGACTATCTTCTAGAAGAACGGCTATCCATGCAACTTCATCAAAAAACATCAACCGAAATGTGATTTATGTCGACGATTAGACAATACAACAGTGTTCACAATTATCGACATACGTTCAATTGGAACAATGTGGAAATACTGGATAGGAGGAGCACAAAGAACACTAGTGAATTTTCAGAAACTTGGCGCTCAGGTCAATCAGCAATCAACAAACACATCGACATTGACCCATTTTATCAACACTAATTAGAAAAATCATAGGCGACATAGGATCAAGAAACAGATCAAAAGGGGCACTCAATCAAAAAAAAGGTGCAAACAACTACAAGTTTAAGGTCAACAACAACCCATCAAGATCGAGATTAACAGAACAAGCTACAGGTCAAACGTGGAGAAATTCGAATGTTTCACTTCTGCTATTTGATGTTTGTGCTGATGATGTTGTTTTCAGCAGGAGAACAATCAAAGCTCCACAACCAAAACACCATCCAGCGCAGAGAACAAAACACCACCACAAAAATAGATTTTTTTTCTGCAATTGCTTGATGGGTAAGAAACGAGAAACATCTAGCAGAATGAAGCCCTATAAGAATGGTCTTACTTATTGCCTGAGAGACTGTCGACAATTGTTTTCGCATCATCTAACGCTTACAAATGTTGAAATAGTCGAAGACTCATACTTATTCAAAATAGGATTATATACACTTATTAACCTATGATCATCTCTTCTTTTGAATGACGCAACTGTCAGTTCAAATCCCACAGTGGTAGTAGAAATGCAACTGGTAATGAAGAAGACTAGGTTTCGAAGAAATTATTCAAGAAGTATAATTCGGTGAAATAAACTTAGAAGGAGAAAGATAGAAGTGATGAGGAATTCAGAAGATTAAGATTTGAGAGTGGACAAAGAGTGGATACACTTGAGCCTTTGCAAACGATTTTTGAGTTATGTCGTTTAAGTTCTCTAACCATCGGTTAGCATCGTCTCGCAGAACCCAACCAGGTAGTCTACGCTTACCGAAATAACACAATCCAGTTGTCAGTGATTTCATGGATTTGTACTATGTTTAGATTTTGCCGCCCCTAGCTTTCTTCCAGCCTACCCCTACACCACAAAACATAACGAGGCAGTCTAGTGGTTGGGTATTTTCTCAATGGATAACGACGAGCTGAGGGCTTAAAACGATAGGTATTGAATTCGAGTTTCAATGTGAAAAACAAAATAAGAATGCAGGTAAGTCCGACGGACAAGTCTCAAACAAACGGAGTACACGTCTTGAATCCGACTACTAGCCAAAATCCATGTGTATTAAGCCTAGTTATATTTGATCTTTTGCAGCTAATATTATTTTATCTGACGTCCTCAATCTTTTTGACAAGTGAGACATCGGGTCTGACTATTGGTTACCAGTCAAGTCGTTAAATCAACAAACTACGTCACAACGATAAAATTCATCATTTTCCAGTATATCTGTGTAGTATTGTGGTGTGCTACTTATATGAACGATATAAGTAGTATAAGAAGGGACGTGAAAGAAGAAGTCTTACGGTCAGAAGAGGAAAACGGAAAGCAAATAGAGCAAAAGCAAGGAAGAAATAGAGCACCGACAGGAAGTAAAGGAAGCAACAGCAGGAATGGAAGAAGGCTGGAGCGTTGGAAGTCAGGACTCAAAGATGGTGTGCAAATGGAGTGTTCAATGCAATGTTATCGTTTTTAATTGACTAAGAGTGTAAATTTGCCAAATACAATCTATTGAGCCTGCCTCAGTCTTCTCAATTGGTGTCGCTGCCTCTACACAGGATGAAGATACCATGACCCCGGGAGTTTGAAGACGGAGATGTAAGGAGCTTCTTGAAGGAGTCCGAGGCTGTGGCGGAGCTGGTCGGAGTCAAGGAACGGAAGGCGAAGGCGGTGGTGCTGGGACTCTACTAAGAGGCAGGGCGAGAGCGGTGTACGATAGTGTGGAGGACGCTGACTGGAAGGCGGTGACGGAAAGGCTGCTGTTGGGGTCCGACAGCCCGGCGGATAGGCAGGACGCGCTGCAGAAGTTCCGAGAGGCGCGGCTGTCGGTGGACGGCGACCCACTCGTGAGGCACGTGGAGGCGGTCCTAAGGCGAATTGATGAGTTTGGTTTACGAATTAACAAAGACAAGTCTCAGATAGCGAAAAGAAGCGTCACGTTGCTGGGGCATAAAGTAGGCAATGGAGAAATAAAACCACTGCCGGAGAAGATTCTAACGATAAAGAATATTGCAGTTCCCAACTCAAAAAGGAACTTAAGACAGTTCCTGGGAAGAGCGGCGTTCTACAGCAGATTCGTGAAGAACTTCAACGATATAGCAGCACCCCTATATAAAGTGCTAAGCAATGCGAAGTTTACGTGGACAGAGACCGCTCAACAAACTTTCGACCAAATCAAAGAGCTGTTAGATGACCGCCAAATGACGCTGAGACTGCCGGAACCCGAGAAGCCATTTACAGTGACCACTGATGCGAGCGATCACGGTATAGGTGCGGTCTTGAGGCAGTCTGACAGAGTGGTGGAGTATGCCAGCCGTGTCCTTACGCCGACAGAACAGAAGTATTCCACAGTAGAAAAAGAGTGTTTAGCGATTGTATGGGCGGTAGACAAATGGAGACCGTATCTCTTGGGTCGGCGATTTCACATCGAGACGGATCATAAGCCCCTACAATGGTTGAAAACAGCAAAAGACCCTCGGGGGAAGTTGGCTCGATGGATGCTACGTCTGCAGGAGTATGATTTTAGCATCGGGTATGTGCCAGGGGAGGAAAATATAATGGCAGATTATTTGTCAAGACCGGACACCGAAGCCGAACTTCCAGAGATAGCGTGTGCAGTTAACGGCCTAGAGGGAGATCCCCTAGAACTCGTCCGACATCAGAAAGCCGACCCTAACCTTCGGGAGGTAATCAGAGTGATAAAAGAGGGAGAAGATGTTGACAAGAGTAGAACAGATAAAGAATTAACAGTGTTGCTGAGGCAGAAGGAGAGACTGAGAGTGAACGGATACGGAGCCTTGACCTGGCGGGATGATGACGAGAATTGGGTAGCAATAATCCCAAAAGATCTGCGCCAGGAGATGATTCGTGAATGTCACCAGGTAGCGCACACAGGTATTGCACGGACAACTGATTTGCTGCGACAAAGTGTGTACTGGCCAGGTATGAGAGACGATGTTGCACGATATGTATTAGCGTGCCAGCGATGTCAACTAATGAAAGGGGATCGATGCATACGACCGCCATTGCAGTCAATTCCAGTAACAGCAGTTGGTGATTTGTGGCCAGTAGATATTATGGGACCGTTCCCACAGACGACAAGTGGTAACCAGTACCTGCTGGTGATGACTGAGCATGCCACACGATGGGTAAATGCCGTGCCGATGGCGGACCAACGTGCAAGGACGGTGACGGAAGCGGTAATGCGGCACATTGTGGCGGACCATGGGATACCAAAGATAATATTAACCGATCAAGGTCCCTGTTTCGAGAGTGATGAGTTCAAGTCCCGTCTAAAGCAGTTAGGTATCAAGAGAGTACGAACAACGCCGTATCATCCACAGACGAATGGGTTAACGGAAAGGAATAACCGAACGCTAAAGGAATGGCTAGCATCTAAAGGGGGTGACTGGGAGAAAGAATTACCATTAATCTTGCTGGCACATCGTGCCTCGGCACAGGGAACAACCAGGAAGTCACCGTTCCAGCTGATGTATGGCAGACGGCCGAGACTACCAACGCATGATAAAACCTGGCCGCAACAACAGAGGTGGAATATAACAAGACTGAGTACAGAGCGGAGACAAGCAATCAGGAATGTGAGAGAGAAACAAACATCAGACATGCAGAAGTCAGAACAGGAGAGAAAGAACTGGAGACCGTTTGAAGTGGGAGACCAAGTGAAGTGTAGAGAACGGAAATATACCGCAGGAAGAGGGCCAGGGTCAGGCAAGCTGATCCCGAAGTGGGAGGGACCGTACGTAGTAACCGAGAGGCGCGGCGCAGTGTATACGATCCAGAAAGGAAACAAACAGAAACGCGTGAATGCCAGTGAACTCCAAAGGTGGTTCCAAGTGCGCCAAGAGGGCGAGCCACAAACACTGATAAAGAAGACGGTTGTACGGAGATCAGAAAGGCTGAGAGAGCGACTTGTTAAAGGGGGGACGAGTGTGGTGTGTGCTACTTATACGAACGATATAAGTAGTATAAGAAGGGACGTGAAAGAAGAAGTCTTACGGTCAGAAGAGGAAAACGGAAAGCAAATAGAGCAAAAGCAAGGAAGAAATAGAGCACCGACAGGAAGTAAAGGAAGCAACAGCAGGAATGGAAGAAGGCTGGAGCGTTGGAAGTCAGGACTCAAAGATGGTGTACAAATGGAGTGTTCAATGCAATGTTATCGTTTTTAATTGACTAAGAGTGTAAATTTGCCAAATACAATCTATTGAGCCTGCGTCAGTCTTCTCAGTATTACAATTTTTCTTGTAAATTTCAAATCTTTTCACTGCTTTATTGAGGTGGTTTTGAAAGTGTATTAACCAACCTACTAATAATCGTCCAATCAAGAATTTATATTTCACACATGAAAATGAAAAGCACAACTTCAGAATGATAGAAGATAATTTAATTCTTTTTTTTTCAACTAGTATATCAGAGAAGAAACAAGAAAAAGTGTCAGCAAACAAACAAACAAATTATACAAGTTTCGCTCATTGTTATCGAAAATAAAATCAATAATATCTACTAAAAAATTCCAAATAGGAGAATTCGTCACACACACACAGAGTACATATACACAAATAAAGTAAATTGTACATTGAAATAAACAATAGTGTTAACATCTAGAATATATATACATATATATTCACTGTACAACACACATATTTGTGTACAAAGTATAAAATCATCACTGTTTTTTCCCCACTGAATGTTTGTGTACAACGAAATCACAATCATAGGGAAATCAATCAACGAGAAAAAATAATGGAAACAATTTTTTGTTTTTTCTATCTTTTATCACGAATACTCTTCCACCAAGATAATACAGCATGACGTCGTTCTCGTATTGATTCAATACCATTCATTCCATACAGCCTTTTTTGGTTTAAATATAATTAAAACAGCCGAAAACAAAACAGGTTAGTTAGTTTGTTTGTTTGTTTGTTATTTAAACAAATATACACTTTACTGTAAAACTAACTAATGTATCGGAAGTAGACGTGAAGAATAATAAATGAGGTCAGTCAGTCAGTCAGTTGCAACGTAGAACTTCGTACGTAAGTACATCAGTTCATGTCGCCATACCACATCAGCACAGAGATATAATTGTCAATTGAAATCCAATAGTAGAAGAGGTAGTAAAGGTATTAGAAGCAATCGGAGAGGTTAGGATTAGAAGATATTATTCACGAAGTATGATTCAGTTAGAAAAGTTTAGAAAGTCAAAACTAGAGGTGTTGAAGAATCCAGAAGATTAGGATTTGAGAGAACACAGAGAATAAATGCACCTGCGCCATTGCAAACGGTTTTGAGCCATGTCATTCAAGGTCTCTAACCATCGATTATTATCAAAGTTAAATATTCAATTGCATTAAAAATCTATTTCCATAGAAGTAAATAGGTGATAGATATACTTGATATGGGACTGAGTTTTCTTTTTTTTCCAAAGAAATTTTATTGAAAATATTATGTGACAGGAAATAATGGAACTTAAAAAGTTAAGCAGACAAATAACGATAGGCCCGTAGTGGTTGAAAAACTTGACTTTCATTAGTTTACTGAAAAATTTAAGGTGGATTAGTAAGTATAGGTTTCTTATGTATTTAACCATGAAGTGAGCGATGCTGAGGTTGAAAATAGAGTACTTAGTTAAGATGGCAAATAGGTTGATGAAAAAGTGTTCAATCGAGATAGTTGAGAAGTATGGTGCGGATTTTTAACCACTGTCTACATAGACATACAATGTTCGCTGATGTACAACAAGTTATAAGAAGGCCAGGGTCCGCCAAGCCATGATGTAACATCACTCCGTGAAGTCACTAAATGCTGAACTTTGGTGTGTAAATAAATGTACGCTATCTAGCATCCTCACGACTATCGTAAGCAGTCAGTTAGTTAGTTAGTTACAACGTAGAACTTCGTACGTACGTATATCAGTTCAGGTTGCCATACCACATTAGCACAGAGACGCAATCGTCAGTATTACTGGTAATGGAGAAGATTAGAGTTCCAAGATATGATTCGAGAAGTATGATTCAGTGAGATAAATTTAGAAAGAGAAAGAAAGAATTGATGAGGGATCCAGAAAATTAGTGTTTCATAGAACACAACGAGTGGATGCACCTGCGCCATTGCAAATAGTTTTGAGATATGTTGTTCAAGGTCTCTAACCGACTGTTACTATCGTCTCGTAGACCCCAACCGGGTAGTCAACACCTACCAACATGACTCAGTCCACTAGTTACTGACTTCATGGATTTCTGGCATATTTTGGCTTGGCCACCTTTAGCTTTCTTCCAACCAACTCCCACACCAAAAAACATAGCTCACCGAGGCAGTGGATGGTTAAGCATACGCAACACATGTCCCAACCACCTCAAATGATGAAATTTCACCAATTGATCTATTGATCTGCCATCCTTACCTAGTACTTGTTTCCTAACGACAGCATTTCATACTCCATTGTCCACTATCGTAAACAGTAGTTGATGCTTGGTGACTTGCGTCATAGCTGATCACATTAACGGAGATCCACTCATAGACGGTTTTCTCTTAATTTTTCAGTTTTAACATTTTTATGAACCTTTATTCAGTTGTTACATTCTTTCTTTTCGTAATATATCGTCAGATGGTGAAGAAATTTTTTTAGCTCAGGTGGATGATTGTGATGAAGTTTTGTTCTTTATAAGGTCAACTACATAACTAATTAACATCGAACTTAACAGAACAAGCTACAAGTCAAACGTAAAGAAATTCGAATATTTCACTTCTACTATCTGAAGTTTGTGCTAACGATGTTGTTCATCAGGAGAACAATGAAAGCTCCACAACCAAAACATCCAGCTCAGCTCAGAGAACGAAACTCCACCACGTAATATATCGTCTATGCCAAATATTGTTTTTATTGCTACTAATACTGCTAGTGTGGTGCATATTTGTGTGTCAAGTTCTATGTTTTCCCATAACTGGATGATAGCCATTTCTTGTTGATGATGAATTTATAATAACAGTCACATCTATCTATATTTTCCTGTCCTTGGAAATTTTGCCACGAGTTTAACAGTTTAAAAGATAGATAGATAGATACACAATAAGGTAGAATTATCCATTTAAAACCTAGACTAAGCATATTGTGTATAAATTAATTAGTGAACTTATTTTATATTTACTGTTGTATATCAAATTATCACTCTCTCAAATCCTAATCTTCTGGATTCTTCAACACCTCTAGTATTGACTTTATAAACTTTTCTAACTGAATCATACTTCTTGAATAATAATATCTCCTAATCCTAACCTCTCCGATTACTTCTAATACCTTTAATATCTCTTCTACTATTGGATTTGAATTGACAATTATATCACTGTGCTGATAAGGTATGGCAACATGAACTGATGTATTTATGTACAAAGTTCTACGTTGCATCTGACTGACTGACTGACTATCACTCTGGTGAAACATCTATACATTCGATTTGCCACTGTCCTCATACATATATATATATATATATATATATATATATATATATATATATATTTGTAACCATGAATCGATTAATGTTAGACCACCATTAGAAACCTGGAAGCACTGGACGGCCGTTTCGTCCTGGTATGGGACTCATCAGCAGTGCGCATCCACGACTCCTGCTCCTCGCAGGATTCGAACCCAGGACCTTCGGTATTGTGCGCGAACGCCCTAACCGTTAGACCACTGAGCGGCGTTAATGTCTAACTTGATCAAATCCACGGAGTTGTGCCACCTCATACCCTGTATACATCCTAACAGGTTTGAATTTCACTGGTCATGACTTCCCACTACAACTCGGAGAAGATTCTTCAGTTCTGATCAAAAAAATATAACAAATTCATTTCACATAAAGTAAATAAAACGCTGACTTCAATAATAACAATGCTACTACATTTTTTTTCTCTTTACAACAACACTTACATGCCAAAAATCAAACCACCAGCATGTGCTGCATGATCTAATGCACTACGACGACTTAAAAATAAAATGCCAATGATTTCAAAGGATAGTATAACCCAAATTGCATTATTTGCTTGAAATGAATGAGGTATAATGTCAACAATAAATGGTATACATAAATGAGCATTTGGTTTAAGCATACACAATGAACCAATCAGAGCGCAGATACCTCCACTGGCACCTAATGATGAAAATTTACTTCGTTGTACTAATTTATTCATTAAACTTATATAACTTGAAAAGATTCCTGTATGAAGAAAGCGAAAAATTTTAAAAGAAAAAAAAAAGGAGCGTCATTTGTTGTGAATTTTTCAAATATATATGTATTTATTTATATACATGAAATAAAGAGTAAAAAGAATGTACTCAACAGGCACCCAGAAAAATTCGATTTAGCTAAGCGCATACACAAATCAAGCTTATTTATGTACAATGATAGAAACGCCTTTGATGAGAGCCATAAAAATAGTGTACTAAAATAATCAATCCACCAACCAATGACAGTGAAGGATTTTCCGAGGTGGGGAATGTAAGCTGAAGGTCAGTCAACTAAGCATCTCTGGTGCGAAAACATGGAAATTCAAAATTTCAGGATAAAATTACAAAATTAGGACTTTTCTAAGCGAGTTCTAGGGATCTAACGTCCCCAACACTCCTCCTCTTTTTAATAACATACGTCCTTGATTCGTGTGATTAGGAACATCGAATTTTCTGGGTGTCTATAGAATAGATTCTCTACTCTTTATCAAAACTTCGTGCTCTAAATACCAGGGCCTGAGACAACGAATTAGAATATCCTATCGTGTCATTGTATCATTGACCTTTGTTGCGTTTATCGAGTAATGGGAACTTGTAATAGCATTCAAGTATAATTAACCTTATTCTCAAAAAAATATTGTTTATATACCGTTCAGAGACAGTTTGTTACATATGTTGTTAATGTTTAGTCATATGTCACTTACTTGTAAACTATGACCCAATGATAATTAGTAAAGGGCAAAATAAATTGTGATCTTCAGCACTCACTAATATAATATAATCAATATCCTCTCATGAATTATTTGAAAGCACTTTGACTTAACTCTTAAATGTAATGAGAAAAAACGAATTTATCAACAGTGGTAAGGATTAGAAAATATGAAGACCTTGAAACTAATCATCTCGATAATATCAGGTATCAGGTTTCTGAAATTTCTACTATGATTAGCTTGTTCAGGCGATTTTTTTTCTACCGAGATGTTTAATTTCAATCTAATCAGTAGCATATTTGAACCATATATATACATTGTTTGAGAATACGAATAGTAATAGTAGCTTATTTACATGAAGTCTAGCTTAAAGTTGAATACATTTAAAAAAATTGAGAGAACATGAAAGAATGTTTCTGTGAATAATAAATACACTTCCTTTGTGCATTTTCGTATACTCTCTCACATTATACAGCCTTACATCATGCCAATAGCCGTTTAATTTCCTCACCATTCACAAACCTTATATCTTGATTTTTAAAAAAGGTGTACAAAACACACTTTATAATCATGACTGTATCGTTACGAATAAAAAAATTAAGTAAGGGGAATGAGACGAGTGAGGAACATCATTTACACTTCTATACATCAATTAAATAATAATAATAATAAACTCAAACTCACCTCCAGCAAGGAAAACACTAAGGAATTCCTCAACACCGACAAGTGAAATAAGTGATTTTGCAAAACTGTGCAAAACATACATGTTGAGCCATAAATGGAATAAGCTTTTGTGTGAAAATACACTAAGCACCATTGATAATGCAGGAGTGGCTAAAGAGGTAAACATTTTAAACTTTAAAAATAAGAGAAATACAATGAAGTAGAAAAAAATAAAATACAGAGAACAGCTTGTGGTACAGTCAAAATGTAAGTCTATTTGATTCTGAACTAATAAGCTCAAATCGGTTGTTGCCAATATTTGTAAAACTAACGTGAACAGTCAACCAATCAGTCAACAACAACAACAACAACATAGAACTTAGTAAGTACGTACGTACATCAGTTCATGTTGCCTTACCACATTAGCACAAAGATGTAATTGTCAATTCAAATCCAATAGTATTAGAGATAGCAGAAGTATTAGCAGCAATCAGAGAGATTATGATTAGACGATATTGTTCAAGCAGTAGAATCTAGTGTAATAAACTTAAAAAGAAAAAGATAAAGTGATGAGGAATTAAAAAGCTTAGGATTTAAGAGAACACAAAGATTGAATGCACTTGCGCCATTGAAAACATTTTTCAGTCGCCATTCAAAAACTCTAGCCATCGAATACTATCGGCTCAGGGAACCCAACCGGTCGGTCGAAACCTAACAACATGACTCAGTCCACTTGTCACTGACTTCATGGATTTCTGTCATATTTTGGCTTGGCTACCCTTAGCTTTCTTCCAACCTACTCCTACAACACTAAACATAGCTCAACAAGGCAGTCAGTGGTTAGGCATACGCAACACATGTCCCAACCACCTCAAATGATCAAGTTTCACTACTTCATCTATTGATCTGCCTTCCTTACCTAGTACTCGTTTCCTAACGCCAACATTGGTTACTCGGTTGTCCCAGGATACATGAGCAATGATTCTAAGACATCCATAATCGAATACTAATAACGTACGAACATTTTCTACTCTTACCGGCCATGTTTCATAGCCATAAAGTAGGATGGAGCGAACCACTGCGCAGTACACTCGTCCTTCGGTTAGCAAATGGAAATCTCGCCTGCGACATAAATGTCGTAAGCTGGCAAAAGCCAATCGAGTCTTCTGTATCCGAGCTGAGATTTCGTCAGTCACCAGGCCATTAGCACTGATGAGACTTTCTAGATAAGTGAAGCGGTCTAAACACTCGACTACTTCACTCCCTACCACTAGTTCAGGTACCAATGCAACCCAATCTTCAAGCAACATTTTGCATTTCGAGGAGGAAAACCGCATCCCGAACATGCTTGCATTGTTGCTTAGGATAGTCAAAAGACTATATTTTATCAGCGTCTTCACCAAGTATAACTATGTCATCGGCATATTTTAAGTTAAAAAGCGATTTTCCTGGTAGAAAAAAGTACTAACCGACCACTGAGTACTAACAGATTTCAGTGCGTTTTGTTTTTACCGTTAGTCAAATTCCAATGACCGAATCCGCAGTCAATAAAATAAGTCTTAAATGACCGGACGAATAGATATGAAGCTCGTGCTACTTGGTAGCCATCAGCAAGGCATATCTGCAAATTGGATGTAACATCGGTTTCGCATGAATCTTCGACCAACAATAATCAGTATCATAGTCAGAAATTCTACCTCTGAACTAAGCTAACCTCCAACTAAATGGTTTAATAACAGGTACCTAGCACCGGTTGCTATATCAACCTGAACTGAAGTACGTACGTACGAAGTTTTACGTCGTAACTGACTGGCTAACTGACTATAAAGTAACAGGATTATTCATGTATTAATATGACAGTTTTCAAATGAAATGATGTTAATTGATAGTGTCATCCATCTGAGGGAAACGTAACAAAAGGTGAAATATTTGCTATTTCTAAGTTCATGAGTCACCATGTGTGATTGTGAGTCTTAATGAAGCTAGAAGTTTTTAGAAGTTTTTCGGCATGGCAATCCAATCTATTGCTTTATTCATTCACAGTAATACCTCGTCAACTTTAGTAACGTAACTGCTAACTCAGATGCGTAAAGTTTGTAATTATAATAGCAATAACAGGAAGCTCGTATATAAAACATGACAGCTTGATAACAGAGAAATACTTACGCCCAGTTACACTGCTGAGGAAATAAGGCTGAATGAAAGGAGAAAGTCTACTATTAAGGCCAAGAAAGACCAAAATATTGCATGCCACGATAACTAAAATTGTAAGAAACTTCAGTACATAAAATTGAATCTACCCCAGTAAGTGTCCGAGGCTCGTAGAGGTCTGCCCAAAATACTTTCTATGTAGTTACGAACCTTTAATGCACATTATTTTCTTGTATCACAATACCCTAGAAATGGAATTCCCGATGACGCTATCATTTTTTGTTTTCGAATGGCGAGTTCGCCAAGCCTCGAAGCCCAAAAGTAGTGATCCCAGAAAAATCGCATTCGTGGATACGACCGTGAATACTCCGCACTTTAATATCAATTGTAAGCTTGATCCAGGTTTAAACACTGCATTGGTTGATACTGATATCTGAGATCGTGAACTTTTACGAGAATAATTGATATTGCCAAAAGCAAATGATTTACAATCTAGTGTAAAAACAAAGCAATAAGAACATAGACATATTTTTGAAGAATTCGATTTATTTATAGACTGTGAAACAAGTTACATGCTAATGAGTCGTTTATTGTGATATGGATCAAAATCTAAAATAGTGATGGTGCTACTCAGGGTTTTTATTGTAAATAGCGAAGTATATGAAATCTGAATCGATTACTTCCGTAAGGAAGGCGCATTTAAGAAGATTGATTTTACATGACACCAGTACTACATATATACATGCACAATCTAGTTTGCGTATTATACCTTATGGTTTTTTTGAATTTGAAAGGAGTAAAATGTCTTTAACATCTGTGACTTTGAAATAATACAAAATCCAAAAGGAAAAGTCTATACTTCGTTCTAAACAACAGCGCAAAGGTATGGTAATTTTAACCCCACGACTGCATCATAACTTTAAGTTTAATACACGGTAGTATTTCGTGTTATTATGCAGAGGTAATGGTAAATTCTCATCACGTGGAGTGGCTAGAACGCCGGTTACGTTCGCCTAACTACTGCCTACCTAGATGAGTGGTTATCTCGTGTGAAGGTAGACTGGGAAAAGCTAGGGTCGGTCAAAATAAAATTTAGCATCAGTATATGAAGTCAATGACTGCTGAGCTGAGCGATGTTAATAGATGTAGACAATCTGGTTGCAGCCTAAACGTCTTTAGTTCTATTGCTACTAATCACGTTACTACTCCAACTAATCTGGAACTTCCCTCGATAATTTTATTTCGCTACCCTATAGAGGTTTGGTAACCTAAACCAATGAACATGATTCAGACTTAACGCTGCGACTGACAGACTATAAGAAGGCCATTAAACGCCCAGAACAAAAAGCCATAGCTAAAGATTAAGGTGTATAATCAATTATTCCGTCAGTATATACTTCAGTGGGACGTAGTTGTATCCTCTAAGTAATTTTTCCTAAATAGAATACACTGATACCTGAAACTTCGAAGGTATCAACAGGTGTATTCCATCTTAAGATAGATAGTAATAGCTATAGCACATTTCCATAGAAATTCTACCTGCTATACTCTGGGGAAAACAGTTATCGTAAAAACACCTACCTCAATGTGAATAACCCTACATTTGCAATACCATACATACCAAAATTAAACTGCCACTCGGAAGGTATTTTCACCACTGTTCCATGTAAAAGACAAAGATCTTTCTAAGCGATGCACATCTCACGGTTACAATAAGTTTGACCCCTGGTTTGAAGATTTTTTCAAGCGAAAGAGAACGTACGTCACTTAAATGAAACACCCATTAGCAGTGCAAGAGGTCACGGCACAAAAACAACAGGAAATATCCGTTCATACACGAGACATAAGACATAATGACTTTTGTATCATACAAGATATAATAAGACTTAATGAAGGTGTACCAGAGGACGGAAGACTGGTAGGACCTTCACGATACTCTTCAAGTAACAAAGGTATCTCGTCACTAGGTTACGGATTGCCTTTTGAAGTAGCAATCTGTAACTAAGGAATTGTCCGTCTGACCACTTTTACGGACAAACATCAAGGCGGGACCTAAATTATTCCAAACAAAGAGCAATTTCAAGAAACGCTTGAAGGCATGTGATGGAATGAAATTTTCTTAGATGAGTCCATTATGTGGGGTGGAGCCTATCTTAATAAAAATAGGGTTTAATTCTGCCTTTTAGTATCAGGGTTAAGAATGCTAGTTTATTAACTGCAACATGTACCGCTATGGAGATCGAACCTATTTTCAAAATTATTGCCAAAACATGTTGATAAAAAGCGTTACTCAGACATGAGCATTTATTTAGGGAATATTATTGTGGTTATAAATATTTTTCGCTAGGGACCTCAAAAACAAACGAACTTAAATCATTAAACTGGCAGTTCCTTAGGATCAGCGTTGACGTGTATTTATCGACTAAAACGCGATATACGGACTCTCAGCTATGATTCTTCAAATGATTATCTTAAGCAACAAATTGTAGGAAATTAAACATTCAGTTTTCCTTACAAATATAAGGTAGTTCTAAATACGGTTTAAGGATAAAATATATCACTTTTCAGACTAAAAAACACTGAGATGAGTTAAACTACATAATCACAGAAAAATGGGATGGTAGTTTTAAATACTGCAGTAAATATTTAATCCTTACATACTGCGAAATATCGGACGAATCCGTTGAGAAAACCTCACACACGAGTAAATCATATCCAAGTTTCAAGGTCGTGTAGCGGTAAGGAGATATGTACTTCTGTAATCCCTTCGACATCCAATATCTTTTTCACGAGCTAGTGTAAGCCAATTGATTTCTTCGCTCTCGATTCTTGTTCTTTCGCTACGGTTTCAGGTGTTCGGTAATGTCCAATGGATGGAGGTCTAGTCACTCGACTGTCTAATTCTAGCATGACATTCACTCACTAGAACCATGGTAAACAAAGGTCAACATACAGTTGTTTTTGAACACATAAAGTTGGACTTTTCCGACCAATCAAGATAGCTTCGAGTAGTTTGAGTGTGTGTGGGTTTTGATGACACGTCACAACTCTAAAGGCTGATTTTGGGTCATTTTGATGACCACTCATCATTAGATGTTTTGCAATGAATGAGGCTAGGTTTCTTGATCGATTTTGAGATGACGGGCTAGGTGGATGCATCATGGGTTTGATTCCCAGCAATTCGCAAACACTCCAATAAACCAAAATTCTTGTCTAACGAATGAGAATGAGGAATCATTGAAGGAACTTATGAACAATTCCACAATAACAATCTCCAAACCAGACAAAGGTTCCGGTGTAGTAGTCATGAATAAGGATGACTACGTAACGAAAATGAACGTGATCCTCTCAGACTCTGCTAAATTTAAATCAGATTCACAGATCGATAACGTGAAGTTGGTCGAAAAACAGATATGCCGAGAACTACATCTACTCATGCTTCATGGTTTCATCACCGAGGCCCATCATAAAATGCTCAAGCCCATTGGTACATGAACGCCACAAATGTATGGCTTACCGAAACTACACAAGCCTACAACACCTATGAGACCAATTTTGTCAATGATAAATTCACCATACCATAAGCTAGCGAAGTGGCTGATAGAAATTTCGGATCCTGTTTGTAAACAAATGTCGACACATACTATCCTCGATCCCTTTGAACTTCTCCCAGTCGGATGTCTTCTTTTGATGTGAAATCTTTGTTCACAAATGTACCTCTCGAAGAAACTGTGGAATTTATTTGTGACTTAAAACTTCACATAACATAAGAATACCCATTCCGACTACCTATCTTTGAGATCTAATTTTGCTGTGCACAAAGAATATAAAATTCTATTTCCAAGGTAAAGCATATACACAAATCGATGGAGTGGCTATGGGAAGCCCTCTCGGACCTGTTTTAGCAAACATATTCATGGGAATGATAGAAAGGCAAGTTAGTCACTTCATCGATGGTATTACACTTTACAAACGATATGTCGACGATATTCTTGTCATATTACCACATTCTACAGATATTAATGAAGTCAATGATTTATTTAATGCGATTCAGCCGAATCTGAAAGTCACTTATGAGGAAGAAAAGAATAGTGAGCTAGCTTTCCTCGATATCCTGCTCCATCGCCGTCCAGACGGATCAATCAGACGAAAAGTACACCGCAAACCCACTTTGTCGGGACAGTACCTCCACTTCACTAGTTTCTGTCCCATACAATATAGACGTTCTGTTGTCAAAACTTTATTCGCTCGAGCAAGTTGAATCTGCACTGTTGATACATTGGACGACGAACTCAAGCTTAAATTAAACGGACATCTCTAAACGTTTATTGGTCATCAGAACACAACTACGACGAAACTGATAGCAACTGATGTGCCCAAGAAACCAGTGTACTTACACTTACCTTTCAAGGGTGATCATTGCATGAAAATTACAACCAAACAGACTGCAGCTGCAATAAAAAAGACCTTCAATGCAGCTAATCTGAGGCTTATCACAACAACTCAATCGATCTCAGTTACCCCAATCAAGTCTGCAAGACCGATTCAGTCCAAATCCCACTCTATTTACCAATTCACGTGTAACTTCGGAGAAAGTTACTTGGGTAGAACAGATCGCCGATTGGTGGACAGGATAGGGGAACATATTCCAAGATGGTTAATCAAATCCATGATTCATCCACCTAGCCCGTCATCTCAAAATCGATCAAGAAACCTAGCCTCATTCATTGCAAAACATCTAATGATGAGTGGTCATCAAAATGACCCAAAATCAGCCTTTAGAGTTGTGACGTGTCATCAAAACCCACACACACTCAAACTACTCGAAGCTATCTTGATTGGTCGGAAAAGTCCAACTTTATGTGTTCAAAAACAACTGTATGTTGACCTTTGTTTACCATGGTTCTAGTGAGTGAATGTCATGCTAAATAAGAAATTTTGACCATATCTTAAAAACTGTATTTACACAAATAACATGTTGTTTGCATGTGACTGACGAGAAAGCACGAAATGAAACTATCTCACAGAATATGTCTTCTCATTTCTCTGTTCAAATTTATCAAAGGGAACCACTGTTTTTAATGTCTAATTCTAGTCAGTTGGCAGTCGGTTATAAGTTTCTATGTCTCGGGATTTGAATGAAAACGTTTGTTTCAGGGCAATAAGGTATCTGAATACCAGCAGCTACCACATTACCAAACCAGAGATCAGTTAGTTGCAATGTAGAGAATAATAATAATAATAATTTATTCTCAAATAACTAAGTTACAAGAGTCACGCCAGTTTACAGGCTAGATCAAATTGTCACAAATGCTTTTACAATTACTGTAAAAGTTATAGCAGTTAAATTAAGTATAAGAGACAGTTTCTGATTGCATATTTACACCATATCACTGACAGAAACAGTATTATACAGCCACATTTTCAATATTAGAGTACAAATGAGGAAGGTGCACAATAGGTTCTATTGGCGATTGGCCGAGATCAATAGTGAATTTGTTGGGAAAGGTCATATTGAACGCGCTTGATACGAGCTGTGGTCCAGACAGTCATGTACATTGGGTGCATGTTCCCTAGAGTTGCCAAGGATTTCCCACCGTGAATGGGGTTCTGAAAAGGAGAAGAGAGAGAGGAAAAGGCAGCAGTGTGGCAAGTGTATATATATAACCAAAGCACTACTTAACCTGTCATATTAAAGTAGTCAATACAGTAGTAAGTCAAGATAACATTCATACTGACCACTTAAATTAAAGTAGATTATGGGAATATAAGAATATAACGCACAGATAAAGGAGTACAGCAAAAAAAAGGGAGAGTTGTGCAGTGTCAGGTGGATAGAAGAGAAGTCGAAGTAAGAAGCTGGATATATGTACGTTGAAATGGAAATTCTAGTTAAAAGAGTAGAGTTTGTAAAAATAAATATTTGACGAATAAAATCTCGCACTGTCTAACTGTTTTTTTTCTTTATTATTGAATGCCAACCTCTAAGTCATACTGTAAGCGCCTGAGTAAGAATGTTGCAGGTGTCTCGACAGAATAGCGACCTCAGCATAGTTTTGGAAACATGAACCACAGAAGTAGCAAGCGTATAAGAGCAACCTCAGTGTTACTGATTAGTCGTCTCATCAATCTAAAGAGCCGAAAGCAAACAAAATGTTCTGCCCCACAAACATGGGTTGTTTGAAGTTATCGCCCATACCATCAATGTTTGCTGGTCAGTAACTCCACCCTCCCTCCTTTTGTGTTGTTAGGCTCATGTTAAATGTTTAAAAGAAGCTATTGAGTTCTACTTGGTGTTCTATGTCTCGCATCCTGTTGAGAAACACTATTTCTGCAAGTTCCTTTCACAAACTCGTCTGGCTATTACAACTTATGAACTATTGGTTAGGCATCAATGCTATACAGTTAACAGTTATGGAGAAATAGTAAGAATTTTCAAACAAGATATAAGCATTTTGAATGTAGTGGGGAAGATGTACTTAACTAGCTAAGCAGGAGATATAAAGAGTATCGCGGTTAAAAGCGGAGCAATAGATAACACTAAGGGGCCAAGGTAAGTCAATAGCGTGTAAGTGAGAACAGTATAATTGATAATAGGCAATGTGAAACTCACACAGTTGTAAGTGTTGATAAGGTTGCGCTCAGGAGAGTAGAGTGCATTCTAATCAACCAGTTTACAGTTGAACAATGTCGATCGACCCAGTTAGTAGAGTAACCTGTCTATTTCAAATAAAAACTAAAGAGATTTATATTCAACTAGAAAAATTTAATGCTACTTGGGAGGGTAAAAATAACTAAATAAGACGCAGCACTGAGTTCATTGTGTTTAGAGTGTATGCAGAGCTATTAATATGAAAGCAGGGTGCGAGTGAGTTCACGAGCGCAGAAGAGTCAGTGCAACTGAGAGCATCATTAAGAAGTTCAACAAACTCATGTAACCCACTTGCCATGCGTATTTTAGAGGGAAGCCTATTCCATATAAGTGCATACTTAGAGAGGAAGAAGTTTTCTCGAGTTTTGGATCTATACTTCTCAAGTTTGACCGTAGATACTTTATCTCGGAGGTTATGTGTACAAGGGCCATGGATAAGGACTAAACTGCAGGAGGAATATGTGAGCTTGTGCAGGAGTTTAAAGTAAAGGATCAGATTGGACTTAAGCCTTCTTTTCCATAATGGATCGAGCCCGAGTTCAATACATCGGGTTGGATAGTCAATGGGTGAGCTATGATTTAGGACTTTACGAGTAAATTTCCTTTGTATTCCTTCAAGTTTCAACATATCAGACAGGCGTACGTTAGAAAATAAGAAAGAGCAGTATTCAGCAATAGGTCTTACGCATGTTTTATAGAGAATTGTTCTGGATTCTCTATGAAGGAAGTTACGAAAGATGAAACCAAGCATTCTTCTCATTCGAGAAACTTTATTGGAGATATGTTCGGAGAAGTTAAGGTTGTGCGAATAATGCACTCCAAGATCAGTTACGGATGTGAGTTTGGGCAATACACTCCTGTTGAGAATGAGATCTAATTTGGGAGCAGCGTCTCCGAAACACATCCAGCCACACTTCTCAGTATTAAGTTCAAGGTTCCATTGCTTACACCAGACATCTACAGTATTGAGTTCGTGCTGGATTGTGTGCAACAAGTTTCCTAAGTCAGATTTGCTAGTTTGATAAATCACTTTTAGGTCATCCGCATAGAGGTAGGTTTTACCAGTGTTGAAACAACTGCATATGCTGTTGATGTAGATTATGAAAAGTTTATTAATTGGTAGTGAAGATTGTGAGAGATGACC